TAGTGACGACATCATTGTTTAAATCTACAAGAATGACGACTATTTTTTTAATAGATTTATTATTTATTATTCGTTCATAGAGAGATACTTTAATGTTGCAATTGTGATTCCGATTAATCCTAATTTAATTATTAATAAAGACGTTTTCAATCGTGTAGATAGTATCCGCAGTTCTCTTAGATATATCGATGAGACATATTAATAGTGGTTCGTCCGTACTGAAAAGATAGCTATCAGGGATATAACGATATAATCGGTATATCAAATATCGAAATTGTCATTTATAACGAATTTATCAATAATATACAAAATTTATTAAAATACTGACAAACAAAATATTTTTAAATTATTTTATTTATCTCTGAATAAAAATATTTTTTTATCCTTTGATTAGCATTTAATTTTAATTTAGTTTTCTGGTAGTATCGAATTATTTCAGAGACTCAAGCATTAAAAAAAAAAAAATTATTTCTGTTTGCATAATTAATTCTACAAATTATTTCGCATGAATTTTATAAGAATATTTTCGCTTTGTTTGATGATATAGTATATTCTTAAAAAAAATTAATTTTTTTCTGAATCAACTTGAGGTCAACGTGTATACGAAACACTAAAGATTAATGAATGGAGTAATTCATTTCTTCGATTTATGACATTATTTTTAGGTTTATTTCAAGTCTGTTTGGATATTAATATAATAACTATAATATCTAATATTTCATTATCTTTCGCTTAAACTGTTCGATCGTAAATATCGACGATATCATGCGATACAGCATCCTTATCACGACGTATCCAGATGTACATCCGTATTCCGCGTAAAGATATATCAATTTGTCCTTATATCGAGATTATGTCATCGATATGCATCGACTTAATCGCTACGGGACGGTGAAAAAAAAAAAAAAAAAGATCACCGTACGAACAAGGGCACGTTGCCGACTAACGTAGCGATCCCCCCGCGTTCCCCGGGCTGCATCCGGTCGATATCGAGAGGTCTCACCATTACACCCTATTACGTACGCCACTGATCATGCCACGGGATCGTTGATCTACCACTCCTTTTCTTCGCACTCGTTCCCGATGATCGGAGCTGCCTCGCAGTTGCGCGGCGGTTGCTAAGAAGAGGATCCTGAGGAAGAGGATGAGGAGGAGAGAGAAAAGAGCCCCTAAGAGAGAATGGCGAGAGCGAGCGAGCGAGCGAGAGAAACTCGTGCAGCAGACAGAGGCTTCCTCTAACTCTTCTCGCCTCGTCCCGCTTTACCGTACCGGTCGGCTCCGCTAGTCGTTTCACGCCTTTGCCTTCGCCGTCTTTCTCCATCCGTCGAGGCCCGATGCCCGAGGGTGGATGTTGCCGAAGGTGGTATTAATTGGCGCGAGAGGAGCTCGGTCGCTCTTATGATTAGCCCGCGCAGCCGCCGCCGCCAATCCTCCCTCGGGAAACCGACCTTGCGTATATCTACTTACGTCCGTACACGTATTATATACACGTATTATAGACGTTAACTCTTCACTACCGTCGCGAAAGTATGTATGTATGTACGGGTACGTACCGCGAGCATTCGTGTACGCAACGGACGCGACTCGGATAATATTTCGGGATATCATCGGAAGATATCGGGCCGGTTTAGGATCGGACGCTAATACAGCTGGGCAGGTAGTGCATGCCAAGGCGAGATAATTACAGAGCGCGTCTCGGCCGCCAAGTCAAACAACCTAAAACATCAACCTGCCTCGGGGCCATAGGCGCCCGAATCTGTGGACGGAATATTTTCCGTTTGGAGATATAACATGTGTATACGTATTATATATCCAGTAAGAGAGAGAGAGAGAGAGAGAGAGAGAGAAACATATATGTAGCGCGCGCGCGTTAAAACGTAAAGGCATTCGTAAAGCAGGTAACCGCGGACTCTGTTGGCGGGATAGCAGCCGGAGCCTTTCATTCCGAGATCCGAGGGCGAGCTAATCGATTTGAAATTGGGCCCGTGACGGTCTTCTTTGGCGTACCTCGTGCTCGTTCAATTTATTTGGTGGCCCCGACCACCCCGGCGTAGCCGGAGCCTCCGCATTGTTCGTAACAACAGTGCCCCGCACTTTTTTTACACGGCATCGAAGACGAATCACCGCCGTCACGGTACTCGCGCGTACCGAAATATCTTTTGTCGCTTGCAAAATTGAAAACGTCCGTAAACTGACGTAAGCGACGTCGACCGCGCAACTCTCTTCTCTCTCTCTCTCTCTCTCTTTTTCACCCTATCTCTCTCTTTCTTTCTCTCAGCAAATCGCGTTTCACGAAATTAATCGCAGTTTGTCTTCCTTCTTTTTTTTTTCTCCGAGTCCTGGAAGGAAGACACTCGCTCTTTCTCTCTTTTTTTGAAGGGAGAAGAGGGGGAGGAAAGAGAGAGAGAGAGAGGGGGGGATAGGTCGTTTCTCGGGTCGACCACAATCGGCCAAATTAGTCGGGTTTCCACGGGGTGTGGCTTGGGTTAGTTACGCTTTAGGTGTCGGGTGGGTTGTGTGGAGAAACAATTTGTTTGTTCTGTTAGGCGGCGCGCCACGCTAATGACACGTTATGTCGGCGACGCGATCGAGAGGGACAAAGTACTGCGGGATGCCCGTGGTGTATCCCGCGAGTAATCCGAGTAGCCCCGAGTAATCGTCGTTCGCGGGAGCGGAAATTAATTGCGTTTTAATCTTTTTTTTACGAGCTATCTTTAGTACGCGCGTCACTCGCCGTCGTGTATTAGATATATCGTAGATGGACGCCACGCGGAGGATAGAAGATGCGCGCGAGCGTCCCGAGGAATTCCCAGAGATATTTTAAGGAGAACATTGGCGAAGGAGAAGAAGAAGAAGAAGAAGAAGAAGAAGAAAGAAAGGCGCCCGCGCGAAAGTGATGGCCGGTCGTTAAAGATCGACTCTCTCGCGCGCGCGCGTGTGTGATGCTGCTTCGTCTCTCCGTTGCGAGAACGGACAGAGCTGTCTTACATTTATATCTTGTAATCGGGATTTACACACGTGTCTCGCATCTCGACCTCGTCCGGCAAATTCACATCAAAATCGCATCCAAACAATTCACGTTTAATCATTTAATCTTGGCTTGCGTTTAATCAACGTAACACGATTACTCGTATAAAGTAATAATCACTTTATTATTTTTTATTCACTATATAGACTTTTTTTATTATAGTTTATAGGTGCTTATAAAAGAGTAAATTGATAATGACGTTAATATCATTGCTCACCTCGGATCGATCGTAATCGATAAACGAAAAACGAGAGACGGCTGCGTATTTCGCTATTACCGAACGATACTTCCCGCACCTGCGTATATTTCCACGGAGGGGTGTCTCTTTGCGTCGCGAAAGTTTTTAGCCGGCTATCCGCAAGTTTGTACGCGAGAGAAGAATTCCATACGCGGTAACTTTATTTATACAGGGAATGCGAGCGCGCGCTCGTTGGACGCTAACAATAAATAGAAGCGTAGTCGCGAATGCCAGAAGAAGAGGCGGTAACCTATCATTATCGTGTGCTCCGACGTCCTCGCGTCGTAGCGTTTAGTCACGCGAACCTTTGCTCCCTCGCAGATCTCTCGGAAGGGAGGCGAGAAGGGGGGGGGAAAAAGCGGGAACGACAGTAATAACGCGTATCGTGTGCTCCGACGTCCTCGCGTCGTAGCGTTTAGTCACGCGAACCTTTGCTCCCTCGCAGATCTCTCGGAAGGGAGGCGAGAAGGGGGGGAAAAAGCGGGAACGACAGTAATAACGCTCGCCAATTAGTTCTGAGAGAAGTAGGCAAAAACGCGACGTCGTTCGTTTTTCGTTTCGTCGCTCTTTCGGCTTCCACCCTCGCTCGCTCGCTCTCGCGCAGCCGAGTAGATGGGTAGGTAAGTACTACATATTTGGTGGACGTTAATACGTTTCGCTTTTTTTTTCACGCGAGCGATTGATTTCCAGCGAAATTCGCGGAGACCAAGGGCGAGATCGCAGCGTGGAAGAGAGTTCGACGAAGAGAGAGAGAGAGAGAAGGAGAGAATAAGAATAAGAAAGAGAGCGAAGAGAAGGAAGAAGCTTGCGTATAGAAGAAGGGGAGGAGGGAGAGGGGGAGAAGAGGGGAAGAAAGAGGGAAGGTGGAAAAAGACGGAGCTAACTCGTAGGTTCGGGGCGGAGCACGTCCCTCGCCGGAGCACAAAGCGGCCTGAGGTATAAATTGGTTTGTTTGCCGCGGAGATGAAAGGGGCCGCTAAATGCTATCTTTAAGGTGTCGGATCAACGCAAATGTGGCTGAGTTACTCGTAATTATAGGATACTCCGGAGCTCTCGGGACCTACGCTCGGAGCTCGTCCGTTCGCTCTCCGCCGTTCGCTCCGGCCGCCTGCCTGCCTGCCTGCCTGCTTGCCTGCCTGTCCGCCTGCCCCTTCCACCCCCTTTCCCCTTTTTCTCTCCCCCCGTCCTCCCAATCCCCCGCAACATCCACGCCACCCCTCGCCTCTGTTCGCTCCAGGTTCGCTAGCTCGCCTGTCTGGTCTTTCCCCAGGCTTGCCTCGTTGCCGCGAATCGCACTGGCGCGCATCTCGGTGGACCCGTTCTAATTCTAACTCTTCAAACATATACAAGGGGGTCGGTCTCGCGATTCGCACGATCCGGGACCGCGATTAGGGACCAATTAGAACGGAATCTACGGCTGCCCGTGTTCAATCGAGAACGTATTCGACGCGTAATATAAATAGCAAAGCTGTCTGTATATATTTTTCGCGCGCGTATTTTTCCTTAAAAAAAATATTTTATATTTCCTAATACAATTTTGAATCAAATATGTTATAAAGATTGTGATTTTAATTCGAACGGGAGAGGAAGAGAAAAAGACGGAATATTATCAATCGCGTCATGCGATCGTTGTATTTACGCGCGTCGTTCTTCAAAAGAATGTAAACAAACTGTTTTTACTATAGAATAGATTCTTAAGGAAACGCCAGTCATGTACAAGATGTGAAACTTGTGAAACCTCCGAGCTTCCGTATTCCAGTCATTGGTGAAGCCGCTACGGTAAATAAGACGATCACTTCTTTAGAGAGAATATACCGTGTCTTTCTCTCGCGGCGGTTCTTTTGATATATACTTATATATCACGATATATATTATACTTTGTACACCGCGGAGAAGGTAATAACGAGAACCCTACGCCATTGACGATGCTCTTTATCTCACTGTTTCCGACGAGATGCTTCTCTCCGCGGAGAAGCTCGGAGAAGACGAGCCGCGTACTATGGGGCTACGAGGGGGGAGGGAGAAGAGCGGCCGACATATTATAGTACAAAATAATAATTCATAAATTATACGCGCCACGTCCGTTTAGTGCGGTGGCTCTCCGCGGCTTAAGTATACAGCTCACTGCACGCGAACGAGACGGAGACGAGACGAGACGAAATGGGACGAGACGAAATGGGACGGGACGAAACGGGACGGGACGGGACGGGACGGGCGAGAGAAAACTAATCTCCTTCTTCCTCTCTCTTTCTCCGTTCAAACGGCAGATATGTGGTAGTCAATCAGCGACGAATCAATTGTATCGGGCAATAATCGGAGCGACATATCAACATGCAAGAGCAACGGCTTACATGACGTGAGCGCGCGCGCGCGCGCGCGCACACGGCGGCTTTCATCCGCGTGTAACGCCGTAACCGGTAGCGTGCCCGTTGCCCGCGTGTGTAATTTGCATTAATTATCTTCAGACCTCTCCGCACACCGTTTGCCGTGAGCACACGATGAGGCACGGAGATACGGAAAACGATGTATCGCGTATGCAAATAAAGCGAAGAGGAGATGAAATACGAGTCGAAATGTGCGAGATGATTCTTCGGCGCGGCAAAAAATCAAATATCGCCGATCGGCGGAAATGGGGATGGTCCGAACCGATAGTTTAACATTGCTTCGTCCTTATCGTAATCTCGCCACTCTTTTAAATAATATCAATGCATTTTCATTAAAAAAACAGTCACCGATGATCTCGGTTATAAATATAGTATTGTAAATCAGTCAAATACTACAAGAATCAATTAATGATAGTGGTTTCAATTATATGATAATCTTTTAGAGTGCGTTATAAAATATATGAGATAAATTCAACAATATATTTTTTTTTTTGTTAAAGAAATATTTGAGTTTGACCAAGAGACTTGTTCATTTTTTTATCACATTTCCAGAATAAAAAAATGTAATATGTGTATAATCAATTAGTGATAGTGGTTTCAATTATATGGTAATCTTTTAAAGTGCGTTATAAAATATATGAGATAAATTTAACAATATATTTTTTTTTGTTAAAGAAATATTTGAATTTGACCAAGAATCTTGTTCATTTTTTTATCACATTTCCAGAATAAAAAAATATAATATGTGTATAATCAACTAGTGATAGTGGTTTCAATTATATGGTAATCTTTTAGGCACGATTACGATAACTGTGGCCCCATATTTGAAAGGTCGTTTCTGAAGACATTTTTGACGAGGAACACGGAAAAAATAGTAAAAAAAATTTTCGACCAATAATTTTCGAGATGTATCACTTTAAAGTATTGGACATGATAATAAAACGTTACAAAACGGACGCTTCGCATTGTAAAGTATATGCGTGGACGCATTGGGTTCCGCCCCCCCTACGGGGGAGCTCCACTTCCGAAAGATATAACCTAACCCAAACCTATTCCTGATTTAAAACTAAAATTTGGTTTGGGTTACGTTATATAACCCGATTTTTCCCGTGTTCCTCGTCAAAAATGTCTTCAGAAACGACCTTTCAAATAGGGGGCCACAGTTATCGTAATAACCCCATCTTTTAAAGTGCGTTATAAAATATATGAGATAAATTTAACAATATATTTTTTCTGTTAAAGAAATATTTGAGTTTGACCAAGTGTTGTTCATTTTTTTATGTTTATCACATTTCCAGAATAAAAAATGTAATATGCGTATAATTCTGAATTTGAATATAATATAGTTATACATATTTCATTCTAGATATGTGCGTGTGGGGGGGGGGGGTTTCTTCCAAAAAATACCAATCCAAAAAAAAAAAGGCTTTAAAAGCTACATTTTGCAAATGTATATAATTATTAATAGTTTTTCAGCGAAATCTTGCTGCCATAATCAGTGATATATAAAAAACACAGAAGCCCATGTAAATGTTTTCACAGCATCAGTGAAATATTCATTAATCTTTGGTGAAATCTTACTCTCTTAATAAAGAAATTTACATTGAGGCCTTCAATATTCGGATATAATTTAATACTCGAGATAATTATTATTCGATTTTTAATATCCATTATTTAGCAAAATCAATTTAAACGAAAAACAAATTTTTTTATGTCCCTCTCTCTCTCTCTCTCTTTCTTTCTTTTGACCTCACACGGAATTGGCGCTTTTCTTACAAAAACCCTCGCGTAGCATAAATGTATAGAGAAATTGTATAGCTCTTTCGCTGAAGTCCCGCTTCTTATATAAAATGCGTTAAAGTACGTGTCTATCTAGACACACGTTAAGGACATAACACGTATCGATTATCGTTCCGGAGCGTATATACTTTTCGTCTCGGATCGTCCATGTTGCCCTGAATGTTACGTATCACGCGCATTTATTATATGCTGCGGTAAGAAGGAGAGCAAAAGAAAAGAGAGAGACGAGAGAGAGAGAGAGAGAGAGAGAGAGAGAGAGAGAGAGAGAGAGAAGGGGTTAACTCACCCGTTGCAGTTCGTTGTAGTCGCGTCGAGTCGAGTTAGCTCGTGTGTGAGACGAGGCGAGGCGAGACGAGACGAGGCGACTCATCACGCTTGTTTTCCGCCTGCCCGCGATTAGCGAGAGTCATCCTGGGAGGCCCTTCTTTCGCACCTTTCGAGACGGTTTCTTCGCTCCTCCGCGAACGAGGCGGATTGGGGTCTGGGATGGAGGCTCGGACGCGTGACGTCACTGGAAAATTCACTAGCGATCGACGCGACAAGGACGACGACGCTCGGTAAGTTTCGACACGCTCTATCGCGCATATAATCCTCGAGAGTTTTCTATCCTTTTTTTGAAAATATGAATACGTAGATACTCCTCTCGGGACACCACACACAAACGCACAAAGATCTTTAGTAGATTTAGCCGATCGCGAGCTTTCAACTCGAGTCGGATTAGATTATTACCGCGCGTATCGCGTATCACCGATCACCGGAAGCCGGGAGCTTGCGACACGAATTACGCCGCAAGTGCGGTGACGGGCTGCTAGGATTACGGCGGAGGGGGAGGGGAAGACGCTTGGTGCGAGAGTTTACCATTAGATATTTCGAGGCGCGGGAAGTCGTATCGCGATCGTTCGAAACGTAATCGTTCGTGGCTTCGGTGCTCTTCTTCGAACGACGTAGCGTGAATAGAAATTGTAACTGCGATGCTGCGCGTATATTCACGTACAGGACGTGTTGAACTACGTCTCTATCTAACAAGGTGAATTCTCGAATATAATATTTATTTTTTCTTTAGTCTTTATGATATTGCTCGCTCGACAGTCCAAATATATGTTCGACGAAACGAGTTTTCGATATAACAAAATTGCTTTGAATATTTTGTGTGTACTTTTTGTACTTTTATATTATGATGCTAATATGTGTTAACTGTGTTTATTTATTATTATTATCCGATATACACTATCACTATTTATAGATTTTCGTTCAGGTAATGTATATCGAAATATAATCTTTGTTAGTATGTGTGAGCATATTTAATGACGAATTCTTTGCGGGAACTGTTATGGATGTATTTGATTTTCTCTAGTATTTAAGAAATCGAATTTAAAAAATGATTTTGGTTAAGAAATTAAAAGCAACATTTGCGACATATTAATTGCACTTTATTTTATTCTAGTTGAGCACGTTTAATAGCTGCTTAATACAATGTGCAAACTGCAATAAAATTAAATGATAGGCACAAGCAAAATAATTGCACATTACATTTTATTCATTATATATTAATTGGTTGTACATATTAAATATCTGATAAAATTTTTGAAAAAAGAGATTCATCCTGTATCTCTTGAGAATTTTTCCGACATACATAATTTTTTTTTTTTTTTTAGCGGTATTTACAATTAAAATAATCGCGCATTACTTTCAATTCTCGATTGAAAGTGTAGTTAATTATATATTAATATTCATGGGTCCATGTTTTATGTGCCTTTGTCTCACATATCGCTCAATCTTTATTTGATTCTAGTTGAGCACGTTTAATAGCTGCTTAATACAATGTGCAAACTGCAATAAAATTAAATGATAGGCACAAGCAAAATAATTAGCGATGAACACACACGCAATACATTGGCGCGACAGTCTTATACAGATACGCATGCAGGAAACTATTCTGCGCGTGTGACGATTTATGGATTAGGGGAGTGACTCGGCCGTTTAGAATTTATCTGTTAGATTAACAGCTGTTGTATCCTCACATTCTCTCAACTCTCTGACTTTCGTTAAAAGAGCATCGGTCCTTAAATCTTTGGATATTTTTATATAGTTTAAAATTTATTTCATTTATTTATTTATTTTTTCGAATAATCATTGATAAAAAAAAAAATAAATAAAACGTATAAAACGTGATTTAATAAGTTTATTTTGGTTATTGCTCGAAGACGATACTATACTAGAAATTATCAAATAATAATATGGTGGATGATATTTTCAGCGCCAACGACTGTGTTGTACTGTGAATATTTCGTGCTTCTGATACACGATTGCATCATTCCGACGGACATACCCGACCGACGGAAGCACGTAAGTCATGATATTTTCATTTTCGATAACTTGTGCCGTTTTTCGAAGTTTAAATATCGATGATACGTACAGCAGAGAAATTAAGTCTATTTCGCGCACATAATTATTGTCTCCTTCACAAAGATGAATTATTCTCAAGGATTTTAATGAATTTTTTAAATAGCAAGTTAGTCTGAGAACAGAGCTGATAATGTTGTTGACTATGTTGATTTCAATATTATCTTATTATAATGGAATCATAATATTTTACATCATATATATTTTTTTTACATCATAATTATGTGTGCGAGAGAGTACATAAATTAAATGTTGAAATGGAATAAATTCTCTTGCAATCTCAATACACAAGTTTCTATGGGAGAAGGCAATTATATGATTGCGGCGCGTAAAAGATATCTTTCTACCGACTTACGCTTAACTTTCTATGACATATTGATACGGCATTCATGTCAGTAAAATGTAAGTTTCTCGTTATATAAAACTTTTCATTTGATATGACTTTAATTTTGACGGGTAGAATGGTCTTCAGTTGAATCGGAAAGTTTCTATTTCTCAACTTGATTAGTCTTTGTTCTCTCTTGACTCCTTAATTATTACAAGCCGTATATTTATGGGCTCATCTTGTTGCACGTAAAATCCATTTTAGACCATTTGTGATTTGCGTACGGTATTCTGCCTGCTACTACATGTATGCTGATGTCGCGTTATAATAAAAATATACGCGAACGAGAGATTTTTTTTATTACATCGAGGTAATAAATACGAGTTATAATTATAGAGTAATGCATATAATTATTGTGTAATTAAATGTTTCCACCTTGACTTTTTATATTTCTTGATTTGTTATCTTATTATTACTACATCATGTGTGTTTATATATTTGATGAAGTATATATTATGAATAATAATTATGTAATCGCGGATTATTGATTGCCATAATATTGTATAATCTCCAATTATCGCGTTGATTGATATTCAAAACGCAAGGACATGGGTGGATGTGCTTTTAACATTATGCTTAGAAAGCATATTATTCTATCCCACGAGATCGAGAAATAACTATATCACAAGATACATGTAAGATTTCGTAACGTATATATTAATATGATTATTGAATTTATCAATTTGTTTTTACGCAGTTTTTATCCCTAAATATAGAACGTGTCTTTTTTTCAGGGATACAATTGTAATCCTACAAATATTTACATTACAAGAGCTTCTAGATAGGATCGTATTTCGAAGTTTATCGTGAATTATAGATCGTTTAAATTGGGCTTAGGCATCCGAACGTATTCGAGTAGCAATCGAATGCGCGATGTATCTCTTGATTCGTCGGATGCGACTCGAATGCGGCTTTTTCGAAGTCTCGTTCGTGTTCATCTCGCGCGTCTTCGGTAGGTCCCCTATAAAATACCAGAAACGCGCGTTTGCCCCGAAGGCGTTCTCCGGCCGAAGAGAGTCCGGACGGTGAGCAACCGTAAAGGTTCTGGAGCACTAATTTATAGCCGACCGCCGCAATACCGGTAATCTAATTAGTTTAATGATCAAAAAATATTTCCCGAGTCTTTCTTAATCCGAGACAGGTAGCGCCGGCTTCGTCTGAACGCATTCAATGCCGAAGCTTATCCGCGAAAATATGCACCCCCATGAAAGTTTGATTTCCAAACAGACAAAAAAAAACAATGCGATTGATACGAATCGCATATCAATTCGATGCCTTATCAACTGGTAACGTTATGAGAAAGGAAAGATTATTAATCATAATTTTTTTTTTAACTGCTAACGACGTATAAAAAACGCATGTGTTTTATAGAGAACATTATGATTTATACATAAGAAATATATTTTTGAAACTCTTATTACAGAGTTATTTCTATAGCAATTTAAACTTGATAAACTATCTAGAGATGAATAAAGATCTATGGTTTGAGGTACTTGTCGCGCGTACCAAATCTGTATATAAATTTACATACAAATAATATTTATAAATTCTCGTCATAGTTATCAATAATACCGGATAAACGATAGAGGTCCAATCGAAACCGTACCGTTTGAAGAAGCATATATACGCAATTGCGAGTGCGGTTACAATGTCGCGCGACAGTAGGCTTCGCTTCCGCGCTATACTTTACCGGTCGTTTCGTTATTGTCAGTTTAGCTGACTCGGTTAGGTTTCGCAAGGCGTTTCACTCGCGTGTCCAAAATTTCGCATCGCGTCGTCGCGGAAGCCGGACGGCACGCGAAACCAGATGCCTCCTCGCGAAACAGATAATTACGTCGCAGTCGATAAAGGGTGACCACTTCCTTGAAACCTCCAATCATATTGTCGTCGTGTACCGTCGTCGACTTGTCAAATAGCCGTATCGGCTAATATAATAACGCGCGAGAGCGGTGTGTATGTGTTGTGGGCGCGTAAAGAAAACACCGGATGTACGAAAAAAAAAGAGAGAGAGAGAGAGAGGGAGTCGTCAATATTCTTCCTACCGTTGTCGAAACGTGCGTTCGCCACGTTGTCACATTCATGCCGATTCTCTCAATTGACGATTTCAATTGGCATGCGACGACACCAGCGGTATATACCTTTTGGACTAAACGAGCGCGTCACATCTGCGAACCAAGTTCCTTCCGTTCGGGAAAGAACGAGGTTCCACTCGGGTCGAAATCGCACCATTTACAGAGCGCCGGTTACAAAGAGATGCGCGTTACAACGGACGCGTATACGCCAATCATAATTATCCGAATACGCGCATTGTAATTATCGCCGTTCCTCGACTCGACCGTAACTCGAAGAAGGTTTGACGTAATTGCGAAGAGGTCATTAACCGGGAAACCGTCGTCGCACGGCGGCGGCGCGACTTGCCATTACGATTCGTGCGAAGAGAGAGGTATAAAAAAAATAAAAGAAGAAACTATTACGAGCGCGAAATTCGTGTGTGAACGTCGGTCGGTTTCGCGAGAGCGGAGAGATGCTGGAGAAGAAAAGGGAGCTTAAATCTGTAGGAGAATCGCGACGCCGGCCAGGGTCCACTTGGTGGGCTTTTCGCGAGTCTTGAGATTGAACGTCCAGATGTACGTAGGACCGCGCGTTCTAGTCCTGTAAACCGGACACTCGTACATATTCTTCGTCTCTTGTTTGTCCTGCGTGATCGCCTTGACGAATACCACCGGCATCAGAGAAAACAGCTCCTTGAGCCGGCAATCCGCGATGACACCAGACGCGACATCCCATCGCGCACCCTCCATGTACAAGCCATTCACGTATGCGCCCTCGCGCGGTGGCATCCTGATGAAAAGATTATCTCGGTATTATCGCGTTGATCCGTTGACCCTTCGAGGAGAGGTCGAGTTTTTTATCACGAAAAATTTATCGCATCGAAAATCTTAGCACTATCTGTTGTACTTTAGCGATTTATTGTGCGAAAGCGATTTTGGGTTCATAAAAGATATAGATTTCTGAAATTTCATATATTTCGGAAAGACCTCATCCTCTAAAAAGGTCGATCTCACGTCGTCTCTTACGTAATTTCTTCCTTCTGCTTTCTGGTTACGTCGCAATGCAGACACATCTTGTCCAAGGGCCACTCGTTTTTACGGGCGGTTTGCTGCATGATGGCGGTAAGTAAGGACTGCGGATTGAAAAAACCACCCAGCCAAATCGACGACGGTAACTGTCGAAAGATGCGTTCCGCAAGAAAGAGTTAGATTAATCATATGTAGAAAGAAAGACAAACTTTTTTTAGCATGAAGCGAATGACGAAACAAGGTTTTCTCGAATTAGTTGCAACGTGTGACAAAATTTAAATTATTTTTTCCCATGTTTGATGAAAATACATAATTTTTCTTTTAATTTATAATTGTTTGTAGTATTTCTTTTTCTTGTCGCAAAACCGCGGTCTCGCCTTTACTTACGTTAAAATCTACCGTCCAATTCGATAGTTCGGTTATTCGATTGAGCATGTCCGCGAACCAATTCGACAAACCAAGAGTGGAAGGATAGGCGCGTTTGGTCCACGATGGCGGTACAGAATCCATAAACAGGTGATTCTGCAGATCCTCCATATCTGCGCTGATCGTGAGCTCGCCCTAAAAAGGGATATTTAGATTTATCGCATATTACTGTTCCCCGTCAGTATCTCGATACTGACTTTCAAACCGAGGTCCAATTCTCTCAAAGATCTTTTCAGTTCCTTGCAAAGCGCGTTCATATGTTCGCATTCCTGGAGAGCGACGATAACATAAGGAGTGCGATCTTCCGTCTAGAAAAAAACAGAAAGAAAGAGTCAAATTTTTTTGTCTATTTTATTTATCATCATAAAAAAATTAATTGTAATATTAATATTGCTAGTGATGTTATAAAGATAGAGAAGAGAAAATTAAATCTTGCGTTCGAAGTGGCAATAAAGTCGAGGACATAAAATGCGTAATGACCGATGTTAGAAAGGGAACATTTATAGAAGCAGTTAAGACACTGTATTAAATATGACATCAGGGGGAATAATTGATAATTATAATTTCTTGATGACTTTGTGACACACAAAGTTTAAGTAAGCAATTTTATCACATTTAATTATATTAAATTATATTATTTAATTATTTTATATGAGCGATTTTTTGCACATTATATTGAATCATATCTTTATGTCATATTTATTTCAGTGCTCCTTGTTTTCAAAATTAGCAGATCGTTATTCTTATAACGAGTCTGGATGTAATAGCCTGACATCAACCTTGCTCATCAATTCTTGTATATTATACTCTTCGGGAAGCTTGTCAAGTAAATCCTCTATCATAACCTTCACCTTGTCTTCTTTCGATAACACTCCGGTCGTTGTATCGGCGACGTCCCGCGGTTGCATCTCCCAGATTGTTCTGAATAAGTTCTCCGCCGTACTTGTGAGGAATCCTGCGCAAAACGGTAACGAGCGACAATTCATAGCGTTTTAACGCGAGCATAAGTCGAAGGGAAAAACGAGGTAAAACCAAAGCGTATCAAAGTAGGCATTTTTTGTATTTCTGTATAAGAGATAAAAGTCTTCGGCAAGAGATTTAAATCTTTATAACAAGCGGAGTAAACTGTACGATAAACGAAATTGCTGATCTCATCAAGTTTTATTTTTAATGACAAAATCAGTCGAAAAATTTTACCGATCTCCGCGTTCGGGTGAAGTCCGTATAAGATGGGGCTCTCCGTCGGCAAATAATATTCCACATACTGATGATAGCTCGTGTAATCAGTACTGGATGGCACCAGAAAACCCGGCGCCAGATATAATTCGCCCTCGACTAATTCCGGCTGTAGATACTCGAGGAGATACGTTCGACACAACCTTCTATCCCAATCATCGGTTATATGACCGCCGTACATGATCTCTCCGAATAAGTAACGCAAATCCTCCCAGGGTGTCTTAGTATTGCCCTCGAGATAGTTTAATAGTACCGAAGCACTGATGGTCAAGTCGCCAACGTTGAAGGGATATAACTGTACATTAACGAAATATTAAATATAAAAGAATAGAGTAAATATTTATTTTAAAAGGTGCTTCAGTATTTCTTGACACACGTCCATATATAATAAATGTATATATTTTTCTGTACAGAATTTATTAATTTTCTACGTAAAATTCATGTATAAGATTTTTCTTAATTTTACGCACAATTTACTATCAAAAATCAAATTTACATATAAAAATTCAAAATTTTATTATTTGAATCATTTTAAAATAAATGGTCTATAAAGTTGTGAAATTTTATCACGAATTATTAATTATTTAAAAGCCTGATTTAGGCTTTTATTGTTTAAGTAGCGCGAATACCGACCTTATTCCATCCTTGCGCCCCGAATTTTCTACGCTCGGCCAAAGCAGCATGATAGTAACATAGGGCGAAGAGAATAGCTTTGAATTCTGTCTCCTTGGCACAAGATTCCAGTGTGTCCTGGCTAAAGTTGTCCAGAGCTTTGTGGATATTGGCGCGCATACCCGTCGGCGGCTCGTTGGTGATCTTTATGGCCGACTCTAGTATGCCCTTGTGCATTTCGATCGCATTGAAATATTATGCAAAATATTCGACGAAAGCAATATTCAAACGCGATGCTCACAGAAAATGGCGAGAAAAACTTGTCATTTTTTTTTTCTTATTCGCAATTTTTTTCTTTTTTTTTATTTACAATAAATTGCACACAAGAAAAAAAAAAGTTTGTCGCTTCTCGGATAATTTTTCAGTTTCATTTTTTACCTGCGGTATTAACGATTCGTGGGGATCGGGACTCGGTTCCGCGCTAATATAGAGACGATAGTCCTCGTGCGACTCCTCCGAGAGTTGTTCTATCTTCTTTTCCAAACTCGGCAGCCAATTCCGCACCAGATGAATATTTTGAAGTATAACCCAGTGACCGTTGCGCGCCGAAATCTCAATCGTGTTCTCCGCGACGGATTCTTGACCTTGTCCCAACGATATGTTGTGGAAATTTTGCGCGTTGAACGTAAAGCCGAGCCGTCTACCAAGTTTCTCGACGTCCTACACGCCACATCGTTAACTCCGTTAATTCGCTCATAGTTATGTTAAAACTATTATTAGCCTCACTAATATTCTCTAAAGAATTTTTAGAATCGCACGCGAAAAAAAGTACACGAGCATCTCGAATCTTATATCCGAATATTCGAATGTGATTAAAATTAATTCTAATATTTAGGGATGTGAAAAACGTACCTTTAAAGGATCGACTCCTGGAGACAAAATAAAAAATACCGGCGTATTCGCGCTTGTCTCTTCGTATGATTTTTCGAACGGCTGCATACGGAACTGTATGAATTTTACACCCAGTTTCTCTTCCACGAAACACCTGTGTAAATTGTTAGAGGATTAAACGAGTAGCGAGAGAGCGAATACTGAGGAAATATTAATATATATCGCACGCATATTTATTGATTTTTATTCGAACGAACGTTCATTTTAGAGTAAATTGTACCGTATTGCGTAAATCATTCGATCTAGTCTCACGCATCTCATTATGCAAAGTCTCTGGAAGGCTGTCTTATTTTTCCATTCCTGAGGAAATTTTTCTCTCTCCGGTGTTTCCGATTCCACAAATTTCCTCCATCTTTTCGCCGCCCCGTCTATATCGCGATCTAGATTATGGAAAGTTTCCATTCCGCTCAAATATTTGATGCCGCCCCAGGCGACGCTGCTCAAAAAGTCCACCGGGCTCGTCTGATCCGGTAAATAAGGAAATTGTAAGAGAAAATCTACTTCAATCTGATCTATCTCTTTCGTCTGCAGCAGAATCTATAAATCACAGTGATCATTTAATACATACACGGAAGATAAATCGCTTCATAATATAGTTTTGCTCATTACAAATTTTTGAAAACTAAATAGCAGAGAAATGATTTCGAGAGGTTTGAATCACACAAAATAGAAATGCAGAATTTAAGAAATATGATTGATTAGAAATCGACTATCTACAAAGTAGGAAATGTGAACAAAGATATATCGTGAAAAAAATAAATATTACGAGTTTTCTAAGATGATTTTACATATTTTACGATTAAGCGATTATATAATAAAGTGATTGTTGCCGAAGAACGTACATTTAACATAAATATTAATACACTGATCTTTATAAAAAAATATTTCAAAAAGAACATATAATTTGCAATTTTTTTATTTTTTATTTTTTATTTTTTTTTTGAGACTATCCCTTTATTGTTTATGTAAAGAAAAATCCGCATCGCATTTACGAGACGATGTAGTACCTGAAGAGTCAGCTGACAGAGAAATATGAGCTTGTCGCTCTCGAATAGTCCTCTGCTGGTGTAGGTAAAAACCAAGTACGTGACGCTGTCGATCAGACTGGCGACGCGTTTACCGAGGGTGTCGGCCGGTTCCGCGAATTTAATAGCATTCTGAAAGACCGTGCTGAACGCCTTGAGAGAAAATTGGTACAGCATGTTGATCTTGTTAAGATCGTTAAGAATGAAGTAGAGGAGGCTGGCCCTGGATGCCACCGGCCGGTAGGATTCTCGCGCCTCGTCTATCTTCCCAGCGGTCACCTTCGCCTCGATCGCCTTCGCTTCGATCTCGCTCGCGGTCTTCTTCGTAGTTTCGAGATTCTCCACAAGAGCAACATCGCTTAGGATGTCGGGTCCAGCCGTCGCCAATCTGAATGAGAGACGAGACAACACGATGAGACTATACTTAATATAATTAAATGACGACAAAAATTCGTATTTTTTTTTCTAACTCGTGTCAAATAGATAAAACGGAAGAAAAACTTGAATCATGAATGTAAAGATATAAATAAACAATTAGAGACATTAAACAATCGTGTAGGATGATCGTGTAAAAATTGAATCGAAAAATCATTAATAAATTTGATTTGATTCTTTCTCGCGCAGCATATATTTCCATAGCGGTCCTCAATTCGGCGTTTGCTTGAGCGAGCGCGATTCTCAGAGGTTTTACGTTCTCATTGATGTAATGAAATACCATAATATTTTTCACCCAGCTACATAATCCCGCTGCCGCTTGCGATTTTGAATACACGAAATCCGGATCGAACTCTAGTCACACATACGCGTAACGTATTTTATTAAACGCAATATGGATCTTTTTACCCATAGATGATATATATATATATATATATATCTTTTTATGTGCTTGGTATATATTTGCGCCAGTATTATTTTGCATTTCTATTATAATAATTAAAGTATGAGCAACGATACCTTTGTCATTGATATACGGCTGAATCGCTTTAACGACATCCGGATGTATATTCTCTTTATCGTAATCGCATGTTGATCTTGTTAAGATCGTTAAGAATGAAGTAGAGGAGGCTGGCCCTGGATGCCACCGGCCGGTAGGATTCTCGCGCCTCGTCTATCTTCCCAGCGGTCACCTTCGCCTCGATCGCCTTCGCTTCGATCTCGCTCGCGGTCTTCTTCGTAGTTTCGAGATTCTCCACAAGAGCAACATCGCTTAGGATGTCGGGTCCAGCCGTCGCCAATCTGAATGAGAGACGAGACAACACGATGAGACTATACTTAATATAATTAAATGACGACAAAAATTCGTATTTTTTTTTCTAACTCGTGTCAAATAGATAAAACGGAAGAAAAACTTGAATCATGAATGTAAAGATATAAATAAACAATTAGAGACATTAAACAATCGTGTAGGATGATCGTGTAAAAATTGAATCGAAAAATCATTAATAAATTTGATTTGATTCTTTCTCGCGCAGCATATATTTCTTTCTAAAGTCGATCGATATGAACGTCACACATTATAAGATTACATACCTGTGCAACAGATCATCCTCCAACACTTTCAATGTGATCTTGAACGTGTTTTGTTGAGTTGTGAGCTCGGCTTTGCTCGACTCCAGATCCGGACGTTCCGCTTTCACGACGGCGCCTAATAGCTGCTCCTCCAAACCGTCCTTCGTAACCGTGAAATTGATGAGCGTAGTCTGAGCTTGCATCTCCGGCTTATAGTGAGGATTCGCTAGTTTTGTTTGTAAGATGAGACGGAAGCGCTGATCGTAATCCACCTCTTTGTCCCCCACCTTGATGGCCCTTTGTTAACGTACGTTTTGCAAGATCAATTTTGCCGGATAATTTACGTTTATCAAAAAAGAAAAAAAAAACGTATATGTATGTACCTTCCTCTCTTTATTAAAACCCGGCCCAGGATCGGATCTAGAACGGCGTCGACCGTTTCCATAATACTCTCCAGTAACACCACATCTCCGTTTGCGATAGCGTGTTCGATTCTGTCGAGATAATTTTTTTGAGTTAAACGTAACACCATTAATTCGTCCCCGTATGTATTCTTAATCCACTTGATCCCCTGTAATTGCGGATCGATCATCAGTGGCCATCTAGACGAATTCGTGAGTATCGTGGCATTTTCCGAGGACATCCTGTCCGTGGGTAAACCTACGTAAGGGGATACGTTTGATATTTAATTTGCGAAAATCGCATAGTCGATGGAAAAAATTTATTTTATGTTGTTTATTTATTTATATTTATATGAGACATCACTATAAAATAGACTGCGATTTTCAAAATTGCACGATTAAAATTAATGAAATAAAATAAGAGAGAGAAAATCAAACGTGCTATTTACCATCGTTATTCCACTGGGCAATCTTCGCGTCGTCGGTCATTAAAGACAACGGATCCAAGTCCGGTGTGTGCGGTATTGGCACTTGCAGATTGTCGAGAAACGGTAACCAATGTAAATTCATGAGATCCATTCTATATTTCCTCGTAAAACATCCCATATAAGAGATGAATGCCGTGACGAGCAACACGTTGCCCGGTAGAGTAATTTCGGATTTTTTTAACCTGTTTTGTGGTGTATCACAAATGTATTTAGAAATACGTTTAACGCGAGTAATTGACATTATCTCAATAAACGGATGTATTACCTACTACGTTAAAAATAAACTAATTGGATGAACAAAATTAGATTCAAATAAGTATCAAATTAATCGTACAAATTTGATAATTAAAACAGTGAATTAAATAAGTTATAGACAGAAGGCATATGTCATAAAATTTCTCAACAATAAAAAAAGTTCTGTAATTGTTTCACGATAAAAAATGATAATCTGGACATTATTAATTGAAAGATATGACACGTGATGTTCTATAAAAAAGTAATTTCTCATCCTTTCTCTAATGATTTAATTATCAGTGTAATAAGCAAGAGATATTGTTGCATAAAACACATAAATTTACAAAATTAACTCGATATTTGTCAGAGTGCTTTTGTTCATCTAAACAGTTCTCTTTTCTGATTTACGATTAGACAAGTAGCAAATCTATACTTACACTTCCACAGTCTCAGCCCAACGAACGTTCTCAGACGCGAGACCGTTTACCAATCGATTTGCCAAATCTATAGTGAAAGCGGTCGCTTCCGCTTCGTCCTGACATTTTTGTTTCGCGGCTAAAGCCACGTTCATCTTTTCGCTCAGAATGTCTAACATCTTCTGAAGCTCCTGAAGCACGCGAAAACGAAGAAAATTTTAAAATACTTCTTTTTAATAAAGATACATGCGAAATTGAAAAGAGGTAACACTAGTACGTGTAAAATGAGAGACAAGCTCACCGCTAAACGACTCCTCAAAGAATTCAACTTCTCCATAGCGGTCCTCAATTCGGCGTTTGCTTGAGCGAGCGCGATTCTCAGAGGTTTTACGTTCTCATTGATGTAATGAAATACCATAATATTTTTCACCCAGCTACATAATCCCGCTGCCGCTTGCGATTTTGAATACACGAAATCCGGATCGAACTCTAGTCACACATACGCGTAACGTATTTTATTAAACGCAATATGGATCTTTTTACCCATAGATGATATATATATATATATATATATCTTTTTATGTGCTTGGTATATATTTGCGCCAGTATTATTTTGCATTTCTATTATAATAGTTAAAGTATGAGCAACGATACCTTTGTCATTGATATACGGCTGGATCGCTTTAACGACATCCGGATGTATATTCTCTTTATCGTAATCACGCAAATGTGACAGAAACGCGTCGATAGATCCCATTATCATTCTGCAAGATTTCCAAGATCTATCTTTCGGGATCTTCCCTTCAAGCGCGAATAAAACGAGCACGGCCTGGGCGACCTTTAACACCGCATCCGGCGGCGTTCCAAAAGACTTCAATTCGGTCAAGTTATTCTGTAATTAATCACGTAAAAAATGTTATATTTGCAATACATTCCAGCTGGAAAAAAAAATCTTTTATAAAACCATATTTTCTCTCTTTTCTATTACACGAAAACACACTGGATATCAAGCTGTCAGATTTCAAAATCGAGAATTGTTTCATTTTTGTCATACGTGGTTTTTTTCCATCGCGACGCAATAAATTTTTACTTTGCTCTTTTTTTTTTTATATACAAAATAGCTATCGCGTGACTCGGACCACTCGTGTTTTCGGCGCTTCGATTACAATACATAAACGCGAGTTCGTTAACCTTGTTCAAAGTATCGAGCGCAGCTTCGGCCTGCCTCACCGCCGGCTCCGCGCGGGCCAGGTCTTCGTCGCAATGTCTCTGATTTTCCGACACCACCTCTTTGATCTCCGCCACTTTTTCCTCTTCCTCGGTCACTGAAATCCCGTATCGTGCTCGTTATCGGCATTATCGTTCGCGATTAACGCTCTCCGATATCTTACCGATGGCCTTTTCCGCCTCCGCTTTTACGTTCTCCGCACGTACTTCAGCCAATATCTTGTCGGCTATCTCGTTCTTTTTCTTCAACTCGATCTCTTGAGCGGTCAGAATGATCTTTAACTCGTCGACCTACTTCGTGAAAAGATAACTCAGAAGATGGACGTAAGAAGCGCCTGCAGCGAGCGCTTCTTGCCACCCGCCTGCCAGCCATAATCGGTTACCCCTAACGTGCTTGTAACGTATGTGCGTTATGTATATTATATACGGAATATATAAGAGGGAAGAGAAAAAAACACGCAGAAATACATACACATATAAGCATAAGTGATGCAGGCAAAGTTTTCTGTTAACAATTTTTCTTTTTATTTTAATTGAAGTTAACAATGATGGAAATTTAATATAGTTTTATTGAACATTAAATAATGTGTAAACTAGAACGAAAGTAAAGTAAAATTTCGATCAGATTTTTATTTTAAATATAAAAGTAAAAAACTAGGCGAATAATTGCAAAATATTTTATATAATCGGTTATTTTTCAGAAATTTTGGATTTTGTTCATTTTTAGATCTGGATTCAGGAGAGAAAATCCAATATAATAATCGGTTACCCCTAACGTGCTTGTAACGTATGTGCGTTATGTATATTATATACGGAATATATAAGAGGGAAGAGAAAAAAACACGCAGAAATACATACACATATAAGCATAAGTGATGCAGGCAAAGTTTTCTGTTAACAATTTTTTTTTTTATTTTAATTGAAGTTAACAATGATGGAAATTTAATATAGTTTTATTGAACATTAAATAATGTGTAAACTAGAACGAAAGTAAAGTAAAATTTCGATCAGATTTTTATTTTAAATATAAAAGTAAAAAACTAGGCGAATAATTGCAAAATATTTTATATAATCGGTTATTTTTCAGAAATTTTGGATTTTGTTCATTTTTAGATCTGGATTGAGGAGAGAAAATCCAATATAATATTTTATGCAGGAAATATAAAAAAAAATTAAAATGTGCTATGACAATGAGTTAAATTCCGAATAGGAAGCAGGAAATATACCTGAATGGCACAGGATGCGAGTTTCACCAATCCATCGGTGAGACGCGATATCATTGCCTTCAAGTCATGCGTTTTTTCTGTTAGCAATTTGGAGTACAAAGAGATCTGTTCGAGAAATGATTTCGGCGTCGTATAGTTGTATCTCCTTTCATTTTGCAAATATATCGCGGACACGTTATTCACGCTCGTGTGAACAAAGGACATGAAGAGTGATACGGAAGTCCGATATTCGGCCGATAATTCCTTCAATTCCTAGTACAAAGATAGAAAATTGTAGTTATATAGCTTATTTAGAAAAATATTATAAATAACATTTTACTTTTTGCATTATAACTAGATAATTAATGGATATAAATGTTGACCATTCCAAAATAATACGTCAAATTTTTATTAATTTTTTGATCAAATTAAGATAAATTTGTAACGCAGTTATACATCTCTAAAAAATTAGACATTATTTAAAAAATAACTATAATAATATTACGAAAAATTATTATATCTCATTTAAGATTATAATATATCTCATTTAAATTTATGTTAAAACCAATTCCGACAATTTTGTGGTTATTGAGAGAGATAACCGCGTGTAAAATGCGTTATACCTCCAAAAACGTCGCCGACACGGATTCTAGAGCCGTTTGCGGCCAGTCCTGAAACCAGTCGATCGCGGTGCAATTTACTATTGCGGGGAACTGCCTGGCCCTTTTTCGTAGGGTCGCCCCTACCGGTGAGAAGCACAGGACGCATCTCAATTGCCTTCGCACGCGTTCGATGAAAAATTTCCAGCAGTTCGCTTTGGTGTCGATTATTCCGGTTTGCTTGACCTGCATAAAGAGTGATACTAGTTGACTAGTGGTATTAATTCCCTATTGGTTTTTTCCGATTTATTTTGAAATATATAAAAAATTAAGTATTTTTGTTTCCTATACTTGCGAATAATAAATATAAGCTAGAATAAAACAGCGAAATTTTGTTCCATGGGGATGAATTTTGAATGTATCTGTACCTGATTATCTCAATATAAAGAATACTGACAATACTATAAAATAGCGCTACACAATGTACTTTACCTCGTTGCGCACGGCGTTAATGACGTTATCCGCTTCGTCGTCAGTCAACAATTCCGCGATCTCCCCCGACGCCAACATATCATTCACAACGACCAAGAATTTTTCCTCAGCGACTTGTGAATCGCTCATTAAGAAAGTAATACCGATACCCTTCACGCCGGCCTTCAGGTACAACACGGCCAAGTCAGCTTTCAACTCGTTTAACGAGTAACCTTTACGCAGTTGTACTTGAAATACCTATTTTACACTTAAAAGTTTAAATCTAACAAACTTCAGAAAATTTTAAGATACTCGTTAGAAATTTTTCCAACAATTTGGACAAAAATAATCGAGCCTTTTTTTATCCGCTTCTCTCTTTTTATATCTATATTCCTTTATTTTTATCTCTATATTTAATAAATCAATCAAAACCGACTTGTTGATTGTCGTGATCTACTCTATCGAATATTTTCCTCGAGGCTCGAGAAGCTAGGACTTGGGCACAGAGTGGCTATGATGCCTAATCGATAAAATGGCCCCGCTTACCTCCAACGAGGAAACGAAAGAAGCTAGTCGTGACAAGGATTGTTTGCCACTACCACCTACGCCCACAAGAAGTGCATTGCCCCTTGGCGCCTCTAATATTCTATTAATACGACACACGTGACACAGGGCGTCCTCGAATAATACTAGATTCATTGCAGACACCTATATCGAAAAAATAAAAAGTCACGTCATACACAAAGTGATTCATTAATAATTGGCACAATAATAACTACGAACGATTAAAAGAAAAAATGTTTAGAAATTTAGATAAAATCTTTTTTTCTTAACTAATTTCAGGTGCACTTTATTTTGGTAGAACCTTGAAACATATTTATAAATATGTATTTAAATATTTTAAAATATTTGAAAATATGTATTTAATGTTGAAACTACAGAAAAGGAAAAAAATGTCATTTGTATAAATTTAATAGAAAAAGAAAGCTATATATATATGTCTTTTTCTCTCTCTTTCTCTATTATCGAACATTCAGTAAATGTTAATCTTAGCGTGTGTAATATTCTATATAAAGAACGATATTTTTTGTTATGACGAGTTATTGTACGGCAACGTAATTATTTAAATTTAAAAGAAAATAAAATACAAATACATTGTGTAAAAAATTTGGCGCGGATTATATGAAATTATAATATTCAATCGAGATAGTACCAGCTCATTATAATTGAGCAAAGCTTCGTCAAGTAATTTTACAAGCTGGGTCCAATTCTTGACAGGTGCATACTTGGCTTCTCCGATTCCTTCCGCGAAATGACAGTATATTAACGGCTGCTCCAAACTGATTTCGTTTTCGTTCAGATCCTGACCGTCAATTAATTGAATGAAAACATTCAGTATGAATAAACCAATAAGCATGTTTCACGCTTGCAATCAGATCAGATATAGTATACATTTCAGAATAGAAATTAGTTGAGATCTAAGAGAGGAGATTTCACTCGTGATCTCTTTATTAAGCCGTTAAACATACGCGTATATTTTTTCGAAGAGCCTCGAGCAGCAGCCGATCAAACACTTTCTGATCGTCGGAGTTTACCAGTTTATCGCGATACACTCGCGTCGCTTCATGAACGTAAAGCCTGATTATGTGACTCGGAAGAGGCAAGACGTCACCACGGGCGAACAGCATTCCCTGCGTGACATTAAAAAAAAAAAAAAAAAAAAAAAAAAAAAAAAATCACGGAGTCTTCCTCGCGTTTCTTACCTGAAATATGTTGGTTAAATCGCGCAAATTGAAAAGATAGTGAAACTTGGCGACCGTCGGTAGGAAGGTCGAGACGATCTTATCGTGGAGATACAACGCGGTGTCTATCAGAGGACCTGTGAACGTCTGCACCGCCGGATGGAACTTCTCCCGCGGATCGGTCACGTGCTGCTCGAGGATCTGGCTGTATATCAATTTGAGCGCCTCGGTTTGCGGAAAACTGGCAAACAAGCGCCAAATACGGCATGGTACAATGATGGATATTCGCTTCTGTAATATTGCGTAAGTAATCGTGATATAGGTAATAATTTTACCTGACGGCAAACACAGCGAAGTGTCTCTGCAAGCGCGGATCTATGGTGAAACTACCCGCGGTAGGATTCATACAAGATACATATTGCGTATTGTGAATCTCCTTTAAAGTTAGTTTCGTTCTGTCGTACCTGCAGTAAATTCATAGGGGGATTTTATTTCTCTTATTATTTTATTTACTTTTACTCGGCACAAAGCGTGATAAAATTAGTAATTTAGAAAATATATTAATTAAAAAGAAAAAGATATAAATATATATATATATTTCAAATAAAAATTATAAAATGAGATTTTTATTTAAAAGATAATAGAAATATGTTTAGCGAATTATTTCGCGTAGTTACTAAATTAATTCTTTAAAGAAAATCAATTTTCCACGCACTTTAGAAAGCAATCACAGTCAACATATTAAAGTTATTACCAATGATTGTAATCCATATGTTGCCTGATGAGAGTATGCGGTTGTACGGTCCCATAAGTGTCCACTTCCGGCATGTTCATGTCGTCTATGAAATATACCAATAGTTTCGTGCCCGGTGGCCCGTAATTATGCCCCGCTTTCCTCTCCAAATGTTTCTCGAGTATTCTTTGCAACATCTCTTCTCGAACGAAAACGAAAATCAATATGATTTATCATTGATTAAAGTGAGAGCTATGATAATTGTAATATGATAAAATTGGCTTAAATTCACAAATAAGCAAAATATATTTATACATTGAAGAATTGTGGCGCTTACACAACGCAATCTTAAAAAAATAAGCACCAATATTTTCAAAGTGGATTTTTTAATATTCCTAATTTTTTATAAGTGCAATAGAAAGAAACATTTTAAGAAAAAATCTTTAATTTTATGAAAATAGTATAAGTTACTTTGAGCATTTCGAGAAATTTCGAGACATGGAAAGTTTATGAAGGCTCTATAAAATTCACGGTTCTTTAGAAAATGTTTGGATTGTCTCTCTTCACCTGATGTAGTGTAGAAATTAAAGGGAACGTTTGCGATGTTGTAATTATCTGCCAAATTTGCCAATTTGTCGGCCATGATGACACTTTTTCCGGAGCCCGCTCCACCCACTAACATTACCGGAACGCGTTTTTTTATCAGCAAGTCCATGAAGAAACGCAAACGCACCGTTTCTCCAGTTGGCACTAAAGCGGACTGCATTAAACGTTAAATACATTTAAAAAATGTTTAATATATATATTCAAACTTGTTTTTTTAGTTTTGCTCATAGAAAACGTATCGTCGCAATTAGAATATTTAATTTAGTAATAGTCTCTATAATCAAAAAATAATTATTTATGACAATTTCGTTTATGTAATTGTATTTTACATCCTTTAAAATAATTTAATGAATGGAACCTGAAGCGGAATATCAGACTCCAACTCGAACTGGACGACTCTCTCGCTCCAGGGTATCAACTTTTTCGTCTCTGGTTCTATGAAATAACTAAATATGGTTTCGCCTATTGGAAACTTGATGGTTCTGAATTCATTTTGCCACCACCTGCTAAATTCTTTTCGCCAATCTATCAGCTGATCTTGAAACATTGCGGAACCGAACGCCCAAATACAAGCGAATGCAAAATACAATTCGTACCTGAAATATGAATCGTAAACATACGAGTTCCATGAAACATTCTTTTTTCGATTTGTTTTTACGTCGCGAAAGATCGCGAAAAATATCAGAATTTTGTTCATTAATATCGTTACCATTCCTTCGGACAGTCTGGCGGTACATTTTCTTTGGTCAGGAAACAATCAAGTAAGTGACAAAGCATTTGCAAATGACATATCTCTGGTAAGGGGGTGATTTTCTTAAATCTTGACTTTGTCACTTCCAGTAAAGGTGGAATATACTTTTCGAAGAGAATCGATAGATTAGCACGTTCGGAATGATCTCTTGTCTCTATCCAACTTGTGATGAATCTGCGAATAAGTTTCTCGACTTGAAATCATTCCAAAAATTAATCGTAATGCTTATTAAAAAATATAGATAGATTAATCGAATTAGAAGCCGATGGCATAAATCAAACTTTTGTCAAAGTTTAACTATGATTGAAATTTTACTCTTCGAAATCTTTAATCTCAGAATTTTCCTTATCACGGTATAATACGTGAATGTATTTATTGCTTACGGACTCCAGCCTAAATCTTGTGGGTTGATGTATAAAATCCCCGCTCTGGACACCGTCGCTGGCGTAGCTGTCCTGAAATAAAAACATGAATATTGAAAATAATTCTATAATTATCACAAATAAAAGTTTTCGTCTTCTATTCGCGTTAAATTTTAATGTTTAATTAATTAAAACAAAGTAAAATTAATTTTTATTTTTATTTGCTTTGATCTTTCCTTTAAATTTAATTGAATGGCTTTGATTGATTCTTTTCGATAATTAAATATATAATATACATTCCATTTTTTTATTATTTTGTAGAAATATTAATTATGAAATAAAATGTTTGATTAATCTGCCTAGGGTGTTATTCGAAGCAATCGAAAAATATTTGTTATAAATTTACAAATATTTTTTAGATACCTATAATAACAAATTAAAAATTAAATAAGCTGGTAGATTGTTTAAGAATTGACTAAGACATCACCTTAAAGTTGAGATTTCGAAGAGAAGGCGCATTTGTTTGGTCAATGCAATTCTCTCGTTACTCGCCAACGTCAAGACCTTATTATCGTCCATCACAGTATTCAATGATTCGATCCACATCGGGTCGATGTCACCATCGAACACGATCCACTTTGGACCGTTGCTGGGCATATTGGCTTGCTCCCTCATTATCATGGAGAACAACCTGTAAAAGTGGCAATAAGAATAGAAAGTCGCGGGAGAGCCTATTATCGAGCATGGCCTAATACGAGCGCATAGTGCTTTTGATCGCGCGGCTGAAAATTGACGGGTGCGCTGTATTCCAACCCGTCTTTCCATTCCCTCGTCGCTGGATTAATGACACCAAATAACTCGTCGTTGGTCACCGCCTTTGGATTCAGATCGTTGTAATGCGGTTTGCGCGTTTGTTTCGTATACGTTCTGTTGAGCGTCTTCCAGACTTCGGTCTTACCGGTTCCAGCGAGGCCGACGATAAAGACAGAGTGTCGAACGTGAAGCAACTCCTCCAATTGTACAACCTGAGGCGAACCGAAGAGTGAAGGAGAATCTCTTTCTCTCTCTCTTCATATATATTTATCAATTATTCAAAAGATAAATATTACGTATAATATATGTACCTTTAAAATAAATCCATCTTCCGGTTGTAGCTTTAAATCGAGAGCCGCAGATTTGACCATCATTTCGAAATCTAGCTCTCTCTTTCGCGGTACATCCAAAGCGGGAAATAAATCTCCTAAACAAATAAAAGGAAAATTGCAGTGATCACTGATATATCAACGTGTCTCGGAAAATCTATATAATCTGTCTTAAAATCTGTCAAATTATTTTCTATCTACAGATTATTTTATTCATTTAATATTGATTTTTTTTTTAAAAAAGATATCGTAGGTACGAATAATTTTTAATAATAACCGATGAAATTCACTATAGCAACGTAAAATATGCTGCGTCAGTAAGCTTTTTCTCTCCGTATAATTGTTTCGACATATTCTATTCAAATGATATTATCTTTTTCTCATACCTATTAATCCCATGAATACTGGCACATCGTCAGTCACGATTTTTGGCATATTAAAATCTCTTAAAGCTCTCATTAACACTTGCTCCTCCGGCCTTTGCCTATCGTCACGCTTCAATTTTCCAGCGACGACCAAAACGGACTTGATGGCTCTCAGACCCCAGTCGTAATGATCTTGCTTGGATAAGAGTTCACGACATAGCATATACAGAGTAATGAACTTTCTCGCTAGTAATCTCGCCTCTTGAAAACCCTCGGCCACTAACATGATCTCGCAAATTAGCTCAAAATCGGGCACCACCATAGCACAGGGCCTGTCGATCAATTCCGTCGATGATTATTTGTTAATGCGATTATTAATTTTCGGCTCGTTTACCGGAATAGCGTCTTCAAGTTTTCGGGTAATTCCGTTCTACCGGCGTAACCGGGATTCATCGTTATAAATATGCCAACTGTGTCCACGATGTTGAGCTCCTCCCCAAAGAACAAGAATGTATTCTTTCGGTTTTTGACCCCATCCAGAACGCATTTCACTTGCACAGCGACGACCGACAAGACCTCGACGGAAATTCTATTGAATTCGTCGAAGCAACCCCATGCCCCAGTCTGCGCTAATCCTTTGTATATATTGCCGCAAGACTACGAATGTTCAAAGGAAGATGAAATGAATTTGTGAATTTTATATTTTATTTAATTTAACGAGAAACTATGGTAATAGATACTAAATATTTACGTTGAGAAAAAATATTTTGTAATCTCTTGACGCGCTTCCTTCCTTTGTACGTATAAGTCAATATATTCAAAAACGCGCGCATGTGTGCTAATGTCACAAACATAGAAATGTATGCAGGAGGAGTTAAAAGTCACGAGAGATAACGAAACTCAATTTTACGCTCCGTTAAGTATAACGTAACTTGAAAGTTTAAAAGCACTTTGTGTAATATGTAATAACCGATAGTAAAGAAACGAACGTTTATTTCATAAGAACACCCGGCAAGACCGGAATCTTTTCAAATTGGACATTTCTCGCGCGAGAACCTTCGCGTAGGACGCGAGAAACGAATTTTTCGAGGGAGGGAGAGAGAGAGAGAGAGAGAGAGAGAGAGGGGGAGACTATACTTTATAGTCCATTTGTTCGGAACAGTTGAAGACATAAACCATTTGTCCGAGGGCTCTACCGAGGTCCTTGGTCGTCTCGGTTTTCCCCGTCCCTGCGGGCCCAGCCGGTGCACCGCCCATTATCAGATGCAACGATTGCGTCAACGTAATGTAGCATCTGTCCGTCAACGGCGTAATTACTAGCCGTGGCACGTTACCCAGGTACTCGTAAGCGTATATGAAACACGCGTCGCAAATGTTGGCGAAGCAATCTTCCGATTTGTCGTCCCACCTACGGAGGCGAGAAACAATCTTTTTCAATTTATTTTTTTTTCTTCCTGCACACCTGCGTGAAAAGATTAGTGTGTAAACAGCACGGGAACGAAAATTCAATAAATAGATGGCCGGAGATAGAAATTCTCAATACGAATGTATTCTAATAATTATTATTTTTAAAATCGATAGAATATCGATATTTCTAAAATTGATTTATTTATCGATATTTCTAAAATTTAAATTTTATTAATTTTGTAATTAAAAAAAGATACGAGACAAGATTACAAATATAATATCTTTAAATCTGATTCTGATAAAAAATGATTTCCGACAAAAGCATTCTTTACTTAGATAATCGGAAAGTAGATACATCTCTTTAGGCAATAAACTGATATTTATATTTTATATTTATTATGCAGAATCTCTCTGTATATTTATCCTTTTTATAGAAGACTTAGCATATTTTTATAAAATACTGGCTTTTTTGTTTATACAGATTTAAATGCAGAACGATAATAATACTAACTTTTGGTGAATTTTGAATTGAAAACAATTTGATTTATCGATATTAAATGCTATGTATCATTTTTCTGAAGTAATTGAACAATCGCAAAATTTTGTCTGTAAAATCTTGATTGAAAAACTCTGCATTAGAATCACCTGTGTCTTAACTGCGACTGCCATTGAAAATTGGAGGAGCTTTCCGCTTTGAGAGATATTAATTTCCCGACGACGTCACGCGCGTGCACGTCGATGGTACAGATAGTCATGATCTTTTGCCGATCATTCTCGTTCAGGTCGCCGCGTAGAATTGCGATCAATGCGTTTAATTGGCTGATTTGCTTCTTCTGATAATCCTTGAGCGCATTCTCGAATCCCTCTTCGAGCCGCACGAATGCCATATTCACCTCGGAAGTCCACCAGATTTGCGTGCCGCATAGAGCTGGCTGCGCCTCTTGATCTAAAATCCAAGACTCGCGGTGCTTCTCATCGTACGAAACGACAGCCTGGCTGAAACGATATCTCACGGTTCGCCTCATTGCCTCCGTAACGCGATTCAACCAGATCTCAACCTGCGAATCAGATGATTATCTTGATTCGAGAGCAGCCGGAGCTACGCTCTATGAAATCTAAATACGAGAAGAGATGTACTTATCGAAAATACTTTTTTCTCAACGTTATTGTTATTAAAAAAAAAAAAAGAAAATTTAATACACACGATTAATCTCATAATCGATAGAAAATAAAATCCGTGAACACTGGTGTGTTTAAAGAAACTACTGAAAAATAAAAATCTTAAATTAATAATGCTCAGCCATTAATCATACAAACGCTGTATTTATGTGTCATTTCACACTGCATGTCTTATGAGATTGGTTAATTTTATACCTTTCCTGTGCAATCGCATGTACCATACATGGCCATTTCTTCGCCGTCCTTCGCTATCATTCCGTTGGCATGTTTCGTCGGCTTTCCTCCTTCGAGTACCCACTGCAGCTTCGCCAACGAGTCGTACAATTTAGGCAAATGCTTGCAAACCATTTCGGGATTATTTCCTGTTGCGATAAAGCGCGTGCATAAGTAATGATGAAATAAATTTTATATTATTATGACGAAGAGAGGGGACTTTACCGTTGCTCAGTATGTCCAATAGATCTGCAGATGAGATAAAATAGAATCGTGGATAGGCCAGTCTTTTTGTCTCCAGATAATCGGACAGTGCTTTCTCGCAAATGTTCAATTGTCTTTCCAATTCCTCCAAGCGGTCCAGAAGTTTCGGTCTATTCATCGACTTCACTATATTCAAGTTGGTTAACATTTCCTTCAATAGATCCTTGATAAGAAATTCGAGGATATCGAATCAGTATTATTTAACCGAAAAATCGTATAAATCATCAAGATAAACAAACAATCTTATATATATATATTATATATTATATATATATATATATATATATATAGAGAGAGAGAGAGAGAGACAGAGAGAGAGCTTTACTCTTTTTTAAAATTTTTAAAAGAAGATTCGTCGGAGTTTAAAATTACCTTAAAATCCTTGTCTATCTTTTCAAAGCGTTTCGACTCCTCCGGTAATTGGCTTCTTATATCTTCCGAGCCGATAAAAATACTCTCCAGATGCATCCATCTTCGTTGAACTTCAAACCAGGCGTTGATCGTGGCGTCTGCATTGCCGAGCTTCTTTTGCCAGTCCATCACTTCGTCGAGGAAATAGGCGACATATTTGGAGTCCAACATATTTTGCAGTTGTACCTGCGACAGCGATCTTTTTCGTTTCTCGATCAAGGCTGACGAGGAAGAAATCTGATAGGATATATACCTGATTCTCTTCCAACATCTCGATCGTTCCTTCACTTATTTTTAGGACGCTGAGTTTCGTACGTTCGTGCGTCTCTTTACTGAATTCGAGAGTGTCCCATGTATTGTGTAGCTCTTTGAGAACTTTTTCCATGCTCATTTCTTTAACCGCTTTGTCTACCGTGTTTTTAACCTCCTCTTCGTATTTATGAAGCTCTAATTTCAGCAGATCTTCCAAAGTGGTTTTATCGTCCATAGTGAATTTTACCTGCGTATCAATTATATTTCAGTCGATTAATAAAATGTGATTGGAAATATAGAGAAATTATTTTATATTGTTATATATAGAACTAGATTTATCATATGGGATTGTCTGCTCTAGATAAGTAGACCATATACAAGAAATATATATCTTCCTATACGATATGTATTAATTTTTTTTATCTCTTATACGATTCTTTTCTCATTTCCAATCATTTTCAAAAATGCTCTTATTAAATGACATTATTTAATCACTCGTGTTTCAGCCATGAGTTCTTGCCAATGTCTGTCCCTGATAGCGGGATTTTGCAATTCCGAAACTGCCCTTAGCGATGATATCATGTTCCTCACTTGTGCTTCTATCCGTGCGTACAAGTCCCAAGCTCGCATCTCTTTATCTAATTCTAAATTAATATGAAACACATCTCATTTTTTGCACAATTATATATGATTCATATAATGTGACTGACAAGATACGATTAAAATCAGAATTTTTCGCATTTTAAGAATACTTGATGCGATACTGGAAAAGCATCAATAATCAATATAAAACTTACGTCTCAATTCCCGAATCAATTTTTTACATTCTTGATCCATTCCTTCGACATCTATTTTTTTCCAGAATGTTGTCTTCCACTCGTCTAAACTCGACGTAACGATATTGACATAATCCCAAAGATTCTTCAGAAGTTTCAATTCTCTTCTGGCGAGCTTGATTTGTTTAAATTCCGTTACCTGCTGCTCGAATATATTCGCCTGATCGTGTAATGCCTTTAATTCCTCTTCGAACTTCACGATTTCTTCGTTTATCTTATCTAGTTTCTCGTACACGTTTGTACAATCGAAACTAGACAGTGAATTAGAAATATGTAATACGCGTATCTAAATCTATTTACAGAAATAAGAAAGAAAATAGGCTGTCTTACTTAAATACGACGTTCTCGCGGAATCTCGCCAGATATTGCTGTTGCCTAAAATCGTAATAATTGAGACGCTTCTTCAGCAGCTCAATTTGTCGCGCCATCAAAGGTTGTACGAGCTGCTTCACCTGCGCCGCCCATTTCTTAACCGTCGCCCATTGCTCCGGCAATTCCGTCAGCCAGGTATACGTTTCTTCACCGAATTTCACTTGATACTGCTTGAGAAGATCTATAGTCGCCTGCGATCAAATGAACGCGAGCGATTATTAGAAAAAAGTATCCTTCGAAGGATAAAAAAATGTAATTTTTAATTTCTTTAATTCATTGTTGGATTTTTCGTTTTACGTAAATTTGAATAATTATGAATTATGAATAAGATACAATCTAGGTCTTTATTTGTCTTATGATATTGGAAATCAAACGAAATTTCATAATGTTTCATTTTTTACTCTACCTTTATAGGCTCCCACATGTCGTCAATTTGATATTGCCGATCTCGAACTTGCTTTAAATAATATATAGTGTTTAGTAAGTCTTCGTAATCATCCGGTGCGATCGGCTGTGTGAATTTCTTTAGAGCTTTGGTCAAGAATTCACTAAGGTTTCTGAGCCTGCGATATATACATTATCCAAACATCAATTGGATATCTTATGCAATATCAATTATAATTTTACAATAAAAAAGGAAGAGAGAGGAATTTAAAAAGCAGTTTTCTTTTCCAAATATATGGGAAGAATGATATATAGGCAACACACATACTCGCTGTTGACATGATCGATGAGATACGTCTTAAATAAATTAGTCCATTTGCAGATCGTGTTGAGTAGAGCTTGCTTGAAGGATCTCACATCTAGCCGTAACCAACGCAAGAAAATCTTCTCATTTTCGAATTCGTCACATTTTTTGTAAAGAGCCATAAAGTAGTCGATCTCTCTTTTAAAATCGTCTAATCCTGGCTTTTTCTCTTTTAAATGCTCCGATAAATTTTCTAGCCCCTGCGCTACCATTTCCTTTTCTTCGTCCGTGAGAGCACGGCCGAAACGTAAAAACAAATTCAAGTATTGCTGCTTATCGTCCAACCATAACCAGGAAAATGGCTCAAAGATCTGTAATTTGAAGAACAGTGGGATTTTCACGAGTAAAACATTTTAATTTCATGTTTAATGCTTTTTCAAATAAATGCTATTCGAAAGTTTGCTTATCAGCGAACTTGTTTTTTATATTAATTGGAAATAATAAAAATTTAGATACTATTGAGATAATATACTATCGCGAACAAAAATGACAAGTAAAATATATCTACGATCCAAATTCGAGATCGAAAATAAGATAAAAACAGAGTTATACTTGGAGATCTTACGACAATATATTCCTGTGCTTGCACCAAACCCAGTTTGATCCGATGACACGTCTCCTCGAGCATGAAAACGATATTTTCTTCTTCCGCTAAATCGATCTTAAAATATTATATCGCGATTAGTAACGGAAGAGTCGTATTATGATCATATACGCAATAAGTTGAGAAATTATCGTACAGTAGAATGTGATTTCTTTTCAGTTTTTTGAAAATAAAAATGTATTATATAACTTTCTATTGTTTTAATTATCTATATTTTAATCACGTTCTATTTAATCAATTATTTTAATCATCTATCACATTCAATTTAAAAGTTTCAAATATCTAGATATGCCCCCGAAAAGAGACGAGATTTTGTTAAAATAAAGTTTATCTGCAATTATTATGCCTGAAATCAAAAATTCATCAAAACACTTTCTTTCTTATATAAGTTATTATTTTTTTCATCATTATTTAATAACTATTTTCTTCATCTAAATAAAAAAAATTATTTCATATTTCAGATAATATGATGATATGCACTGAATATTGCGCCTGTTACCGAGCACCCTGTATACAACGACGTACTCCATAGTGCTCTCGTTCCGTTGCGATGTCGGGATCTACGCGCGGTATCAAAGTTCCCATCCTCATAACATCAAGCAACAGGCCCTCATAAAACGTGTAAAAGCCTTCGGGATCATCCGGATCTACCGCAGGAAGAAAGACAATGTGGGGAACCTCGAGTAATAACTGAATCTTGAAGAGAGGCGACACGTTGCTCTCCGGATCAGTTTCATCGAGCAGGTAACATATACTGCAAATATGCACATCGCATGAAAACTTGAAACGTTAATCTTTAAATTTTATTTTTTAATAACCGTTAATCTGAAATATTTCGGAAGTCCGAAAATTAATATAGGAGGACCTTGATTAAATGCCATCGAAATAATGGGTATGATTTTACTATTGCTAAAGTGAAATAATTTAGTTACACAACGGATGCGAATTGATATTATAATATTATAAATGATCGATTAACTTTAAGATGACGCATTAACTTTGTACAAAGAATAACAGCTCAATACCTGGTAGAAGCGGCTTGGATCAGAACTTTCGATATCAGATCGTCAATATAAGCGAGATATGGTTTCCATTTGATCATACGCTGAACAATTTCTTCCTCAGTTTGGAATATTTCGGTTATTAGTTCTGCTTTTTGATTTTCCAAATCACCACCCACGGTCGTTCTTTCCTTCTCTTCAATTCTATGACGATATATGAAAAATGTTTCGTAACAAGTGCAAATAATTTTTATATATTATTTCTACTTATATATGGATATAATGAAAACAAAATTTGTGTGTTTCAATATTGAGAAAAGGTTGATATACACCTCAATTTGCTTAGCGGAGTTCGTATCTCTTCTACGTCCTCTGCTCTTTCTTCGAGTTCTATATCTCGCTTCCCGATATCTATCTGTGCATCTGTATTCGAATATATCATAATTTTATTTTGGCCAAATCTTGGAATTTTAAAAGTTCTGAATAAGATAGCATAAATAGTTAGTATAAAAGAATCATGGCACTCGTGATATGGAATATAATGTGAATCTTTTAAAAAACAAATTTGAAGAAAAAATATTCTACAAATTTTTCGAAAGCTTGTTTCGTTCCGCAAAACAATCTAGCTTTAGAGACAATAGGTAAATATGAATTACTTTCGTCCAACTCGAACTCGTCTCTCTCGTACCAAAGATCGGGTAACAAGTCGAAGAAGAGTTTATAATTTTCATCCAAGACTCGATTTAGTTCCCTGACGGCGCGCTCGATTTGACCGTATCGCTTTTGAAAATTCTCATCTCGTTCGCCCAAGGCGAGCAAATTCTCGCTTTTAAAATCTTTACGCTCTAATATCGGCGACAGTGCCCACGAGTAAATCATCCGCAGCAATGCGCCGACGTTTTCTTGCGCGCGAAAGATCCGCGAATGTAATTTCCGCACCGGATTCATCAAATTATCGATATACTCCGGCACTTCTATATTTTTATAATATAATGTTATGTTTTTATAATATAATGTTATATAATTGATATATAAACTAGAATTTTCACCTGGAGAATTCCAATCATACATTTCTTGACCAATGCGAATTAATTCATCTATTCTTTCGATCTCGTGTCTCACCAACTCCATTTCCACAGGCAAACCGTTATTCCTTATCCAATTGTACCTGCCGTATTTAAATAAATCGAGATCTTTGAGTCATCTTGAATCTCCGAGCCAAGTATTTACTCACCATTGTATAAACAAACTCAGATTGTATGTGCTCTCGAAGAAATATTGCGTTCTGTAGTAGAGCCGAATCGCTTCCTCGGACAGGTCTGGCCTCTGCATAATAATCATATAACGAATTTCGCGCAGGAGAGCGGTCAGCTCTGGATGGAAGTTCAGATTGAGTAATTTGTTCTCGCGTATTGTTAATAAGCTCTTCGACAAGTGAACATCGCTTATATCGACCATCTTTTTGGCCCAGTCCATGAATATTTCGTGCTCCATCGCGTCCATGAGCGACTTGTGGGAACACGATGTGCTTTTATTAACGCAATTTCCATCGCGAGAGTCGTACGAATATATAAAGTATTATAAATTTCTTAAGGGATTACACAGGGATCCACTGAATGGAAAAAAAAAATATTTTTAAGACTTAGAGCAAAATGTTACCTGCAGTTGCTCGTGCTTCAGTTTGGTTTCACGCGCGATTCTCAAGATTATTAGAGGATGATCGACAGATTTCGCGCATTGCATCGGATAATCTATTCGTTGCCGCAATTGCGTCAATGTGCACAAAGCGCCGGCCACACGCGGGAAATACTGATCGGTCTCAATCCACTCGTTCTCGTCACGGTCTTTGAACGTGTTGTCGAATATTACCTGGAATAGGTACAAATTTTCGTTCAAGCCTTGCAGTCATATTATATCTATATTAATCTCTGTATACTAATTATTAATATCAACATAATATAATATCACACATTGCGCGTACTTTAATATCATCGAAATGAATATGAATTCTTTGAAGCAATTTCTCGTAATTGTGCCATAATTGCGCCATGATGATCGGTCGATTGGCCATCGAGCCTATTATCCATATTAGTTTGAATATAGTTTCCGTATTATGACATTCGGAGAATGCCTGATCGAATATATTCGCGATCTGTCGATCAAACTCTTCGATCTACGACAAAGAAGATAACAAATTTTTACTTTACAGCACTCATCACAGAGAAGGGAAGCAATGTATCCAATGTATTGAAATTTATGCGAGTATTACCTCACCTTCGCTAAAAAAAAAGTGACGCTATCGGTGAATCGTATTTCTTCCGGAATTAAAATATCATATTCCAACTCGGCGAATTCATTGTAAAGTTTGACAAACTTTTCGTGAATATCATATATTCTCGAGCACAATGTTTTCCCCTTCAAACCGGTAAATTCCATCTTTTCTAGCTTAAAATATTCTTGGGCCGTCTCAAACAACATCTGACGAATAGCATGGAATAATAAATTATCTTCTTTGAACTTACGCACAACTTATCTCTCGTATTTCTAACAGCGAGATTAGATCTTTTTTGTTATAAAAAAATGATACATTTTTTAAAAAACTAAAAAACTTGTTATACATAAATATAAATTTTTTTGAGAAGCAATCCATAAAATTAAATCCAAGATAATCTATTTTAGCTTGAAAGGAAGATGCACTATATTTCTAGCACCAGCTAGTACACTTTTGTTCGAGATAACACGAGATAACTTGTCTATGCGTGCGAAGTTGCTCAACTGAATTTTAAGAAATGAATCACAGACTTTTATCTCTGCTAGACGTTTCTGAAAATTTATTATTCTTCCGAGTACTAATTCTTCGTCAAAATTCCACGGGATCGACTCAGTCGGGTACTTGAAGTAGTAATCCAGCTTAGTTCGAAACATCTCGAACATTTCTGTGTAATAAGTCAGAATGCTTGTCACATGCTCCAAATGTTTCAGATTATCCTTGACGTCGCCCGCGAACAAGGTACTCTGATCCAAATATTTGGCGGCCTACAAAACTGCGCGATTAGCTATATAGTAGGCATTTCTACGTTCTTAAAGAAAAAGAAGAAGAGATATATATGTATAACTCATTAACATGCTAATTGAATGCGCGTGTCTGTTTAGATCTTTCTGAATAATTCTCGTCGAAAGGACGACAATGGGTTAAATAAATTTAAATAAATAGCAACGCAACACGAAAAGTTTCCAGTATCCTTTGTGAAGGATGACACACATTAATGCTTTTTTGAAAAAAACTAAATTAAATTTCTTTTATTAATTAATTTTCTAGTATAGGATTTAGATTGCTTGAGCGCCTCGATATTTGAAATAACTATTTCCCTTTTACGTACCTCAGTTATTAGCAAATTGGATATCTCGGACAGCAATGTGATTATCCGCGTGGAAGTGCAATAATATTTTGAGTTTGACCATGTCAGGCACACGCAATGCAACAGTGGTTTCAATCTCGGCTGTATATCTTTGAATTCAGTATTTTGTATGTCTTCGAAGTAAGGCTCCAACGCTTTCAAATAGGAACAAATATCACGCGCTTCGATCACCGCTAAAAATACGAATAAAAATCTTTTTGGATCGTCGCGTGGTTTTTTGTTAACGTGAAATTATATTTGAAAGTTTATCCGAAAATTTCTTAATCGGCAAATCCTGCTTTTTTGGAATAATTAGTTAGAACGGCGGTTAAAGGAACAAAATACCCATTCGTTATACATCCATTTAATTATCAATACATCAAATTAATACTTATTGGCCAATTGCTCGGTTAACGCTAGCAAGATCTAACCGGTCATAACGTCTTTCAATAGAGTCTTGAAACACTGTGAGTAGGGACTCTTGGTTAATTCCAGGATAGATGCCATTTTTTTCACTCGAGGATCTCTCATCTGGTTATAGATCGATTCGACATTTTCAAGTCGTTGACGCCAGAACTCGATCTCTGAAAGAAAAGTACGTGGTTAGTAATTAAAGTCTTTTTAATTCTCAATTTTGAAAATCAAGTGAGTCGCGAAAAAATCGAAAATATACATGCTTCTTTTTTTTCAAAATTACATAAAAATTATCCAAATTATGTATTATAAATAAATAACACGAGAAAAAAATTGTGTCACTTTTAGTTGGTAATATAATACAGTGTATCGACATATAATATGCATCGAATCCCACGAATAATGGCTCTGAAACGTCTTATCGATTTAAAAAAAAAAAAAAAAATCTGTTTTACTAAATACATGCAGAGTTCCTCTGAAAATCTTGCGAGATTTAAATACTGTTGCGTAGTACCCTCGCTCGGTATCGGCTGTTTATCGTTGAGGAAGGCGCGTGTGCTCTCCTCGTTAAGTACATCGTTAATTTGCGAACGCCATTTTGTCACTATAGTCTCTATATCGCTTTTTAAATAAACATCGACCTCAACACCGCCGCTTCGCTGCGCTTTCCATTCCTCCTCGAATACCTGTTCGACACCCATCGGCATCGGCAGTAACGTCTGTCCTGTCATCTTACCTTTGACCTGAAAGAGGACATCTTTTTTTTTCTAGAGTAAAGTATTTTGGAACTAGAGAGCTAATGAAGACATTTTTATTTCACTTAAAAATTTCACATTCACAGCTCGGATACCATTGAGTTTTTGAAGACGAGAATATTATTTATATTAAGAAGAAGAGAACATCGAAGGACGTATACTTGGGGACGCAACGGCAGTATCTGTCACACGGACAGATATTATGTCTCGCGGGTTAAGGGCTAAAAGTGACTCCGTATACCTGGCATATTATATTGCGGAAATCGTAAACGTGTTTCTTCGTGTCTTCGCCGATAACGCGCGGCCAGCCCTTGTGATTCCTCGGATTCGACAATATCGGCACGTAAGCCTAGGCAGAATATTCGCGCAAGTTGAATTTTGCGTCAATCTCTTTTTTTTATAGACGCGAACAATATATGTAATTCGGGCATACGATTCGCTACCTCCTCAAACAAAACGGATAATTCCTCGATGGGTCTCGGCGCCATGTCTCCGGGTATAATAACGTCCCTGTAATTCTCCCGTGTGATCTTGGCAGGACTTCTCTTTATAAAGTACGATGCCTTTACCCGGCCTGTCGCTGGTATCTCGAGATACGGCACCAATACGGCGGCCGGACTCAGTTGCACTATCAGAATCATCTCCGACGGCGTGTCAAAGAATTTCATAATCATCTCCTGACACATTTTCGTATTTAGAATATAAATAACACAAGCATCTGTGTCGAGCAATTTATTAGTCTAACAACCATTAATCTCGGGTTATCTTTTGTGTAAAAATGCGAAGTTTTAACATTAGATGGAAGAAAACTTCGAAAAATATTCGAGAATATTGCATTTTCTTCCCATTTTTCTTTTTAATAAATTAAAAATTTATTTATTATAGCAGTATAATTTGAAATAAGAACAATTTTCATATTAATTATATATAGTATTATATATAATTATCGAATGTGTATAATCTATTAATCATGCTATATTATTTTGCTATAAAAAGAGTGTTATATTAGGTTATTACAGATATTAGGTTAATACAGATTAATTTTCTGATAATTGTTATTTATAGTATACTGCAGTTTTAAAAATTGTTGGAATCACGGAATGTATATTATATTGCCTTAACATGTCTCAAATCACAGTGTATGTAAATTTGCGTTTAATTTACGCGAGCGATTAAAGGTTAAGATTTAAGGAGGGAAACAAAAAAAAAATATATATATATATATATATATTGCACCTTGTATTCCTCGTTTGTTAACATCTTTATCCATTTGTCGAGTTTAATTTTTCTCGATAACACTAAATACTTATAAAGATATTCGAGACGTTCGTCATCCTCCTTTTTCTCCTCTTCTCTCTTGTCGGTCATTTTTATATTTACGGGAAAAATTCCTCGCCATCGACCGTTATTCAATTGAACGATTTGAACGTTGTCAATTTGTTTTCGCAGAAAGGTTTTCAAAGTAAAACTATAATCAACGGAATATATTCACAATATCTTATTAAGGCACATACACACATAGAGGAAGACGTTACTCTCGAATGAAGTTGCAAATATAAAAGTATAAAACTCGTTAAAGTCACAAAAGTAAGACAAGAGATGAAAATTGAAGAATGTAATGAATGCTACATTATAGTATACTTCTTTCACGCAATAGCATCAGACTAGATTCTCGTAACGACATTATGAACGATATTAAAGTATCTAAATTGCGTCGTCGAGTTGAAAGTCACATAAACGAGAGTGAAACTCGTTGAAACTTAAGTTGGTCGAGTCGTGACTCATGACTCATCTACTGTTCGTCGTTTATTTCCGGCCAGACTTGTCTTTCGATCCACTCCAAATAGGGATAAACCGCTGTGTAAACCCCCGGTACGGATCCACCGCAACTTTGCCCGAACGCTGTGATTCCCACAATGCTGTAATTGGGTCCGGTGAACATCAGCAAGGGCCCGCCGCTATCGCCTTGACACGCGTCCGATCTTCTCGTAACATTGGTGTCCAATACGCATAGCATATTGTCGTCCAAGCCGCGGGGCAATTTGCTGAAACCGTTGAACGACTTGGCGCACGACTCTCTATCTACGAGACTAAAGAAAATTCTATGACCATATATAATATTTGCATAAAAAAAGAAATATGTATAAGATTATATTTTTCGTCAGATGTCTTTTAAATTTTTTATCAAGTGACTTTAACTACATGACACATAAATCGAATTTTACGTTCTTCATCTATGAATAAGCTAGTTTAAAATCGAATAGCCGATTTTTCGTAAAAGAATTCTCGCAAGCATGCGTTCGAGAAAATGCTCTTTGTTAAAATTCTTACTAAAAAAAGCTATGTATTTTTTATTTTCTCGCACCTGAGACTCGGCGTCTTCATCAACATGATGCTGCCGTCGTCGGTGAAACTGGTAGCGCCCCAACCGATCACGATGAACGATACGTTCGTCGACATATCCATAGTGGTGAGAGATTTCGTTTGGATGCAGATCGGCCTCACGTTACTCGTCATACGTACAGGCGTCTTTAATTTCAGGATGGCCACGTCGTTGTAATTCATGCTGCGCTTGTAACGCGGATGCGTTATCACGTCGATTATGGGAATTCGTTGCGCATCGTCGTCCGCACTCTTTAGATCCTCGTTGCCGATCTTTACCTAGGAAGCAAAAGAGATTCGCTCTTGATCTTTGCATCTCATATCGTAGAGAATTACAGAAAGATCTTTCCGAATCTACTTATGTCAAACAAGGATATCTTTGTTATAAACTGCGATATATTGTAAAGAAATCGTATTTATATTATAGGATGTAGATTCTGTAAACAAGAGGAGTGTCTCTTCGTGCGTTTTTTATTTCGGTGAACACCTCTTAGTCTATAAGAATTAAATAAGGATTCTACACTAATCTGTTTCATTTCTTTTTTCATAACAGGACACGCGAGAAATCACTCTGACTCGAATGGACAGCGGCTATTTCGAGGGTTAATCCTTGACTAGATCACGACCTTGAACTTGGAACTCATCTGCTACTTACCTCTATCGGTACTTTCTCCTGCACGCTGTTCACGCAGTGAGCGGCGGTAAGTACATATTGCGACGAGATTAACGTGCCGCCGCAGTTGTACTTGATAGCGTCCGGATTCTCGTCGCCCTCGTCTTCATTCTCGTATCCCAGAGCGACCATATACGGGAATTCTCCGCGCTCGGCTCTCATGCCGCTGAATATGTGAAACTCCACCTTGTTCTCCGTTATCGCTCTTTTGCTACTTGTTCCGATCTCGTTCTCGTATTGCCGGCATGCTGAAAATTTACGACCGCGAATTGAACATTGTCTTCGCGCGAAAGAACACGATCGATTGGCCGATTATAATCGGCGAGACCGGATTCTGTCCGGATATATAAAACTGTAGCCGTAACTATGAGCCGTGACGATCGTTACGTCACCGCGCGTCTCTTCAAGGTCGTTTATTATTTAAACGAATTCTCGGAAGCGATTTACGCACGCGCATTAATGATACATGTTAAAGTGATAATATACGCGATAAACATTAATAAAATATCTGAGATTTAAAAACGTCTTAAATGGCCATATATATCAAGAATCAAGCCGATTTCAAAATGATAAAATACGCTATAGCTTCGTAATAATGAGAAATGTCAACATTAAAGTTTAGGGACAGTCCCGTCTCGTAGAATTCCGTCTTTTTCCAGATGAAGAGAATAAGAGTCGCTATTGGAAATTATGGCAACAAGCTGAGAAACCTGTTCTCGAATAAAGATAGAATGTTAATCGACGGCAAACTCGTAGGAATATTAATAATCGTCAGATTCGTCTTCCTCCCGATCACCTTCCCAACGCTCATCTCATTATCACCACAAATAACTAGACACGCATCTCCCAGCAAAGTAGCGGTTTTAATAATCTGTAAAGTTAGATGATGGATGAAGTAAGATGATATAAAGTTAGACAATATCTCTCTGCGCAGCACATACAAAAACATCTTTTATTGTTCGATTTTCTACTAAACTCTTCAACGCGATATCAGCAAATAATAATAAGCAAGTTAATTCACGCAATTTAAAAACAATCAATTATATACATCGTATTCCTTATATTTCCTCTAAATTACTTTAGTAAATTCATTTCTGCGTAACGCTAATTAATGAATGAATGAATTATTCTTTTTTTATTTCTATCAATTATGTTTTTTATTATATTTATTTTATTATGTTTTTTATTTCTATATCTTCAAAGTAAGTTAAAGTAAGTAGTCATCTGTGTTTATCAATCCTGTATTCAATTCTCAGATCGCTCTATTTTGCTACTCATAGAAAAAAAAAAAACCCATTTTGCAAGCTACGTAGAATTCCGTCTTTTTCCAGATGAAGAGAATAAGAGTCGCTATTGGAAATTATGGCAACAAGCTGAGAAACCTGTTCTCGAATAAAGATAGAATGTTAATCGACGGCAAACTCGTAGGAATATTAATAATCGTCAGATTCGTCTTCCTCCCGATCACCTTCCCAACGCTCATCTCATTATCACCACAAATAACTAGACACGCATCTCCCAGCAAAGTAGCGGTTTTAATAATCTGTAAAGTTAGATGATGGATGAAGTAAGATGATATAAAGTTAGACAATATCTCTCTGCGCAGCACATACAAAAACATCTTTTATTGTTCGATTTTCTACTAAACTCTTCAACGCGATATCAGCAAATAATAATAAGCAAGTTAATTCACGCAATTTAAAAACAATCAATTATATACATCGTATTCCTTATATTTCCTCTAAATTACTTTAGTAAATTCATTTCTGCGTAACGCTAATTAATGAATGAATGAATTATTCTTTTTTTATTTCTATCAATTATGTTTTTTATTATATTTATTTTATTATGTTTTTTATTTCTATATCTTCAAAGTAAGTTAAAGTAAGTAGTCATCTGTGTTTATCAATCCTGTATTCAATTCTCAGATCGCTCTATTTTGCTACTCATAGAAAAAAAAAAAAAACCCATTTTGCAAGCTATGAGATGATATCATACCTATCTCCGCTGGCCGAAGCCCTATCTTGTCCGTGATGTTGTACTGGCAGCAGACGATCTCCGTGAAGTCCTCGAAGCCGCAACGTCCCGTCGAATCTGAGCTCCTTTTACCCTCTATCACGTCTCGTAATTTGGATGGGCACTCGTATATTTTCTTGCACACGCCCATCTTGCCGTTCTCCAGCTTGCAGTGACTATCTTCTGCGTAAATTTAAACCAGATTATGCTTCGCGTATTGCACGTAAATGCAAAGAAGAGGGAAGAACACGAGGGAAAGCCCGGTTTCGGATCGTTGAAACTAATCGACGGACGGCCCGCATTTTTTCTCGCGCGTTAACGAGTCTGACCTACAAAGTACTTTTTTCCTCGTATAAGATTATAACACACCATTATATACCACTCTTTTAGATGATAACGAAATGATTCTTGCGGCACAGTATGAAATATGCTTAAGTCGGAAAGATTAAAGTATTGTATCTCCCTGATTATATGGAAGTATTCCATTTTTTCTTTTTTATCTCAATAATATTTAATATAAAATCTATTCAAAAATTTAATCTAATATTCAGATTATATAGAATCAATTTTTTTCAGGAAAAAAATATATATTTATATATTTAAAAAATCTGGAAAATGAAAAAGAAATAAAAATTTTCTATAATGTTAAAGAAATATAATTTTATCTTTAATATTATACTTTCTCATTTCTTTGGATTAAGCAATTTTCACACTATAACGGCTCTATCATGAGATAAATAATCGCGCGGTTACATAATGGTCGAGATCAATTGATAATGTAGCGTTGGAAAATTACGGATGCGAACGTGCGCGACTTTTGTCGATCTCCTACTTGAATTAATTACGTATACGTTAATAAACGTTGCGCGGCACTGGTAGTGGTAAAAGCATCAGCCGGCATTCGGCTTCCGCGGGGAATAACAAACCGATGCGTTAGCTGCGTTAATGTCACGACACCGCAACATTAATGGGAACCAAGAAATATTCCGCGGAACTTTAACAATTGCAATCATGGATTCGCGATCATGGATTCTTTACAACCAATTATATTATGTGATGAACTTGTGGTCGAGTTCTTCTTAACGAAAATGTTGAGACATCGAATAATAATAATAATATTTCTCTATTAGAAGAGCGGATTGTGCGGATAAAAAAAGGCTTTTCGTAACTATAAATTATAGAGGGTAAAAGATGCATAGTGAAATCGCGTATTTTAATTTCAAGTGAATTTTAGTTTTAAATTGAAACTTAATTACGAAGTATGTGTTGGAAATTGAAAAGTTAGATAGATGACGATCTCTTTGTTTTCTTGACTAAAGAAAAAGATGGCTCATAGAATCTGTCATCAGAATTAAAAGCGCGAATTATATGAATATATTCTAGTATATGATAAAGAAAAAGCCGATATATATGCCGATAGATATGCAAATGCATAATTATAAGATTTATGTTTATCACAGATTTCAATATTATGTATATTTATATTATTATATTACTATAAAAAAGTATATGTATGTTATCGGATAGCACGATAGGAATGACTCATATCATTTCTATGATATAACGGGAAACAAGTTGCAAAAAATAAAGAAGTGCGCATGTTAGCTATGATAACGTTTTATTCCGAACTTTTGCGTTTTGACGTTTATCTGCTCATAACTTCGAGACTGATGCATAAAATAGCGGCTAAAGCATTTTGCGAGACTTGTATAAATTTATTTAAATCCCCGTCGTATAATCGTCGCAAAAGCACATTAAGTGCGAGTATCAAATGGACCTATTAACCTTTTAGAGCACATGAGTTGTTTTCGTGATATTTTATTCGTAAATGCTAAGGATACACAAGAAATTTTTCCGACTAATAGCATTTTCGAATGAAGCAAGTTTGATCGCTCTGAAATCGATTAATGACGTCATTTATGACGTCTTGGGTTACTATAGGGGTACTTGGATTATTGGATTAATCAATGAAATACTGCATCAGATAAGCGTTTGATTGATTAATCAGGGCAAAGAATTTGGTGCTTTGAAGTCAAAATAATGTCAATCAGAATATACTTTATATTATTTATAATATTAATGTGTTATTTATATTAATCAGATTCAAAACCCATTTACGTTCGAACATATGTTCATGGCAAATTAGGTTTAATCGCAGGGTGATCAAATCTGCTTCACTTGAAAACGCTATAACTTGTGTTAAAATTGGACACACAAATTTATGCAGTATTGATTTGTTTTGAGAAATTTTTTTGAAAGTAATATTTCAAATAAAAATTTCTCCTTCCTGATACACCGCGCGTAGATATCAAATTAGCACATTTAATATTTATGTTGATGTGTTTTTATGTGTAACGTTGACTTATCATACCGTAAAGTTCTTCCTCTAGCATTGGCAAGCCGTGCGTAATAAACTTGAACAAGAGGACGATGAAAATCGAGGAAGACAAATTGAAGCCCATCTTGACCAGTTGATGATTTATCATAGTGTTGCACTTGAAAAAAGAGAAATATATACATATCGTTAATTTTAAAAAAAGAGGGAGAGAGAGAAAGAAAAAATTAAAATTTAAAAAGTTTAATTCTTGAAAATATTTTTATGCTTTATCATTATAAGCTATGTAAATATAAAATTCAAGTTATATACTTTTCCCATTCGTATATTGGTTAAATCGTGGATTTACAAAAATATATAATTTATAAATTAGCTGAGCAATATTTAAATAAATAAGGAAAGATGATTTGAAAATTTTCAACTATAAGTAAAGATTCAACTTTGAAAAATTTTGATTAGATACTATTGTTTATTTATTAATAGCTTATAATAACACTTACAAACTCTTTTAATTTGCACCTGGAATATGGGCGATTCTCTAAATGAATTATTTATGTTCAAAGAAAAACATCCGATGATTTTTTTCTTGAGAATTCGACGCGATATGAGAAGAAAAAGGATATAGGAAAAAGATAACATCCGCGCTGTTTGCGACTCGAGACTACCCGAGACTCGATTGGACTCGACTGACGGCTGATGCCACGCGATGCGAATGTGATCCGGTATATAGTCGCCACAGAAGTGGTAGAAATGGGTAGAAACACACTCTGACGCCCGCACGCGGCAGTTTTGATCACCGTCATAAATTGCGAGTACGTCACCCAATTTCTCAACAATTTCATTGTCCCATACATTGTATGTACGATGTATGTTGCATGCAAGACGTCCGTGCATCACACGTGATGCATTCTACGAGGCATTCTCTTTCGATGTATTTTTTAAAAGCATTATGATGGATTAAAAGAGTATTTCGTGAAAGAGATTGATGTCTTTAAAAATTATCTAATTTTCTAAAATTGTATTTTTCGGGCTTTATACATATTGTGATACAGCAAAAGATAATATTTTTATATTACAATAAAAATATATTTATATTACTCGAATTAAAAATAAATCAAAAGCGTAAAAGTTCGATTATATATTAATTAAAACAAGAGTTAAGAAGAAATTTTAAAAATATTGCAATGATACGAAATAAATAAGACTACTTGTAAACAAATTGAAACTTGTTATTGATCAGCATGCTGATTCATATGACTTTCTTTATTCTGTTTTGTCTATCCTAATTTGGATTAATGTAAAAAGAAAATTTTCATCATATTTACAAATTGCATTAGATTCTATATATGATACCCTTGAATTGTATTAATCTTTTTATCGATAACGTTTACTCTTTTATCAGAAATACAAGTTTACAATATTATCAAGAAAAGAAACGATTTAATTTACAAGGTAGTTTTTTTTTTCATTGAAAAAATATCTTGTTATAATTGTAAGTCGGGCTCGTTAATTGTATCATATATATAAAATATACTATTTATTTACATAATATAATGCATATTAAAACTGTACTCCAAAAAGATATCCAATAGCATATACATCACAATCACATACAATGCTAATAATCTTCCTCTAATATGCATTTCTCCACTAGTTCCCGTAAATTTGGATTTTCCATTGCAGCTGCTATACGTTCCTTGTCATTTATTTGTTTGTTAACTGTAATTTAATGCACACAATATTAAAGGTAAGTGTATATATGTTTCTGTTGGAACAATGTAGAATACAAGTATACATACTTTCTTGTTCAGTGGAATGTGCACCCTCTTTGATATATATATCTAATTTAAACAATGCTACCAAATGACGTTCCAATTTGACACGAATACACAATCCTATGAGAGTTGCCAATGAGCAGTGAGGTACTGTAGGATTGAATTCCACGCGAATTACAGAGACCCCTCCAGGTGTGCTGTGGCAAATGGTTATACAATCTTCATAGACAACGTCCAGTTGCTCCAAGGTTTGCGGTTTCTCCGGATCCTTAATTGTCCTTAGCAAATCTGAAAAACGGGAAGAACTGAATCGTTAAATGATAGAGAATCTCTTTCTGCAGCTGCATATTATTCCAGTGTAATATATTTTTTCCAGAAATATTTTTCGAGCAATACTCGATTGTTTTAATAAAGTGTAAAAAAAAAAAGAACAAGTCATTTGCAATGTCGCACCATCTTTCTGACATCGGACAATACACTCCGAAAGGTCGAATGATACAATACGCAAATAGAGCGCAAAAACTTGCCGTAAACAGATTCTTTTAACTCGGTATCTGTCTTTAATGTCAGATCGCTCTGATTCTTCGCTGTCAAGAGATCCTCTGCCGTTTCCATGATTCTTTCCGGCAGTATACCATCTTTTATCTTTCCGCCGATTGATAGCTTTCGAAAAAAGGACAGCATGTTTATATTAATGATAATAACAAGAAAAACATGACACACATGATGCGTGAATTACGTCATTTGCGAGCAATGACAAACAAGTATACATACATGCGTACGTGAAGCAGAAATCAGCTGCAGGGCTGCCAGATTGTGTTCTCGCTAATCCGTATTCCAAAATTTCCCATCTAAGGCTACGTTCCAAAACGTACTCTCCGAAGAAAAATTTACTCGATGGCCGTTCCGAAACTTTTTTTGGTTTCTGATTAGTTTCAGTCTGGCCATCGAGTAAAATCGTCCTCGGAGAGGAAATTTTACACCGTTTTGGAACCTAGCTCTAGTGTAAATCAAATGCCCCATATTTCCCCTAACAACTTATACATGATGTGGGAACAACGCACGATTAAAAATAATATAAAGGAAGGTTAAGGGCCACTTCGACCAAACTCTGATTAATTTAATCGACGTCCGATATCCAATAGGAGAATTCATTCTATATAAAACCAATTCTCCTATTGAATATTGAACGTCGATTAAATTAATCAGAGTTTGGTCGAAGAGCTCCAAGTTATCAACCCTGCGCAACCCATAATGCAATGCAAAGAATCGATTATGGCTACGGTCGAGAAGACGCTAGAAATGCTTCGAAGCATTGCATTAACCAATTAGAATAAAGAAATCTTTACTCTCTTTGTCCTGATTGGTCAATCAAACGCTTCGAAGCATTTCTAGCGTCTTTCCGACCGCAGCCGTTGATTTGTTGGTTAAAAGTAAAAGCCAATCACGTTTGATTACTACTGAACAGTTTCATAAAAAGCTACTAGCACAAGGAACTAAGATTTTCTTTGATCTGATTGGTTAAATTTCAATCTTTAATCTCCAATCACAATCTTTAATGTATAGTTTGAAATGGACTTTAGACTAGTTACTATTTTTACAAATATTCCGATTTCGCCATTTTTGACCAAAAAGGATTTCAGCCAATCAGAAGAAATCGAATGATGTCCCAGCTCACACACTATTCTACACTACACTTCTACACTCATGACTATTATTTTACGCCTATATACATATATGTAGATTTATTATACATACTATACAGGGTGTCCTATAATTCGCGGATCACCCGCCATGTGGAGGTAGAGCATATGAAACCGAGAAGAAGTCCTTTACCATTTTGCGATATTCGTAATAATTATTAAGAAATTAATTTAAAAAGATGGGCCAATCCATGCCTTACACAAGCGCGCGGCGAGAAGAGACTTCCTACTCAGGCGTTGCTAGGTGCGCGGCGAAGCGGTGGGAGGGGCGCTCTATACGGCTACGTACGAGCGAACGCTGAAGCCACGCATCTCGAACTATTCTCTCTCTCTCTCTCTCTCTCTCACTCTCTCTCTCTTTCTCTTTCTCGCGCGCGCGGCATAGGGCGCGTTCCACTTAACGATCGCAATGCTCGCGAGCATCATCTGTCTTTGTTTAAGTTTCGTGAACAACAAGGATGAAATGATACCGTGAGCGTTGCGATCGTTAAATGGAACGCGCCTATAGGAAGCAGAGCTGGGCAAAAATGTAATCTAATTTACAATTACAAATTTCAATTACAATGTAATTCTTAATGCAATTAATAATTACATTGTAATTGAAATTTGTAATTGTTAATTAGATTACATTTTTGCCCAACTCTGCTTCCTATGTCGCGCGCCCGAGAAAGAGAAAGAAAGAGAGAGAAAGAGAGAGAGAGAGAGAGAGAGAGAAAGAGTGAGAGAGAGAGAGAGAGAGAAATAGACAGAGGAAGAGACTAAAATAATAATATCTAAATTGAAATATATAAACTTTAACGTAACCATAATGATAGCTACGCAGACAAATATATAAACTGTGTAGCCATAATGATAGCTACGCAGACAAATATATAAACTGTGTAGCCATAATGATAGCTACGCAGACAAATATATAAACTGTGTAGCCATAATGATAGCTACGCAGACAAATATATAAACTGTGTAGCCATAATGATAGCTACGCAGACAAATATATAAACTGTGTAGCCATAATGATAGCTACGCAGACAAATATATAAACTGTGTAGCCATAATGATAGCTACGCAGACAAATATATAAACTGTGTAGCCATAATGATAGCTACGCAGACAAATATATAAACTGTGTAGCCATAATGATAGCTACGCAGACAATTTTTCGTAAAAGAATTCTCGCAAGCATGCGTTCGAGAAAATGCTCTTTGTTAAAATTCTTACTAAAAAAAGCTATGTATTTTTTATTTTCTCGCACCTGAGACTCGGCGTCTTCATCAACATGATGCTGCCGTCGTCGGTGAAACTGGTAGCGCCCCAACCGATCACGATGAACGATACGTTCGTCGACATATCCATAGTGGTGAGAGATTTCGTTTGGATGCAGATCGGCCTCACGTTACTCGTCATACGTACAGGCGTCTTTAATTTCAGGATGGCCACGTCGTTGTAATTCATGCTGCGCTTGTAACGCGGATGCGTTATCACGTCGATTATGGGAATTCGTTGCGCATCGTCGTCCGCACTCTTTAGATCCTCGTTGCCGATCTTTACCTAGGAAGCAAAAGAGATTCGCTCTTGATCTTTGCATCTCATATCGTAGAGAATTACAGAAAGATCTTTCCGAATCTACTTATGTCAAACAAGGATATCTTTGTTATAAACTGCGATATATTGTAAAGAAATCGTATTTATATTATAGGATGTAGATTCTGTAAACAAGAGGAGTGTCTCTTCGTGCGTTTTTTATTTCGGTGAACACCTCTTAGTCTATAAGAATTAAATAAGGATTCTACACTAATCTGTTTCATTTCTTTTTTCATAACAGGACACGCGAGAAATCACTCTGACTCGAATGGACAGCGGCTATTTCGAGGGTTAATCCTTGACTAGATCACGACCTTGAACTTGGAACTCATCTGCTACTTACCTCTATCGGTACTTTCTCCTGCACGCTGTTCACGCAGTGAGCGGCGGTAAGTACATATTGCGACGAGATTAACGTGCCGCCGCAGTTGTACTTGATAGCGTCCGGATTCTCGTCGCCCTCGTCTTCATTCTCGTATCCCAGAGCGACCATATACGGGAATTCTCCGCGCTCGGCTCTCATGCCGCTGAATATGTGAAACTCCACCTTGTTCTCCGTTATCGCTCTTTTGCTACTTGTTCCGATCTCGTTCTCGTATTGCCGGCATGCTGAAAATTTACGACCGCGAATTGAACATTGTCTTCGCGCGAAAGAACACGATCGATTGGCCGATTATAATCGGCGAGACCGGATTCTGTCCGGATATATAAAACTGTAGCCGTAACTATGAGCCGTGACGATCGTTACGTCACCGCGCGTCTCTTCAAGGTCGTTTATTATTTAAACGAATTCTCGGAAGCGATTTACGCACGCGCATTAATGATACATGTTAAAGTGATAATATACGCGATAAACATTAATAAAATATCTGAGATTTAAAAACGTCTTAAATGGCCATATATATCAAGAATCAAGCCGATTTCAAAATGATAAAATACGCTATAGCTTCGTAATAATGAGAAATGTCAACATTAAAGTTTAGGGACAGTCCCGTCTCGTAGAATTCCGTCTTTTTCCAGATGAAGAGAATAAGAGTCGCTATTGGAAATTATGGCAACAAGCTGAGAAACCTGTTCTCGAATAAAGATAGAATGTTAATCGACGGCAAACTCGTAGGAATATTAATAATCGTCAGATTCGTCTTCCTCCCGATCACCTTCCCAACGCTCATCTCATTATCACCACAAATAACTAGACACGCATCTCCCAGCAAAGTAGCGGTTTTAATAATCTGTAAAGTTAGATGATGGATGAAGTAAGATGATATAAAGTTAGACAATATCTCTCTGCGCAGCACATACAAAAACATCTTTTATTGTTCGATTTTCTACTAAACTCTTCAACGCGATATCAGCAAATAATAATAAGCAAGTTAATTCACGCAATTTAAAAACAATCAATTATATACATCGTATTCCTTATATTTCCTCTAAATTACTTTAGTAAATTCATTTCTGCGTAACGCTAATTAATGAATGAATGAATTATTCTTTTTTTATTTCTATCAATTATGTTTTTTATTATATTTATTTTATTATGTTTTTTATTTCTATATCTTCAAAGTAAGTTAAAGTAAGTAGTCATCTGTGTTTATCAATCCTGTATTCAATTCTCAGATCGCTCTATTTTGCTACTCATAGAAAAAAAAAAAACCCATTTTGCAAGCTATGAGATGATATCATACCTATCTCCGCTGGCCGAAGCCCTATCTTGTCCGTGATGTTGTACTGGCAGCAGACGATCTCCGTGAAGTCCTCGAAGCCGCAACGTCCCGTCGAATCTGAGCTCCTTTTACCCTCTATCACGTCTCGTAATTTGGATGGGCACTCGTATATTTTCTTGCACACGCCCGTCTTGCCGTTCTCCAGCTTGCAGTGACTACCTTCTGCGTAAATTTAAACCAGATTATGCTTCGCGTATTGCACGTAAATGCAAAGAAGAGGGAAGAACACGAGGGAAAGCCCGGTTTCGGATCGTTGAAACTAATCGACGGACGGCCCGCATTTTTTCTCGCGCGTTAACGAGTCTGACCTACAAAGTACTTTTTTCCTCGTATAAGATTATAACACACCATTATATACCACTCTTTTAGATGATAACGAAATGATTCTTGCGGCACAGTATGAAATATGCTTAAGTCGGAAAGATTAAAGTATTGTATCTCCCTGATTATATGGAAGTATTCCATTTTTTCTTTTTTATCTCAATAATATTTAATATAAAATCTATTCAAAAATTTAATCTAATATTCAGATTATATAGAATCAATTTTTTTCAGGAAAAAAATATATATTTATATATTTAAAAAATCTGGAAAATGAAAAAGAAATAAAAATTTTCTATAATGTTAAAGAAATATAATTTTATCTTTAATATTATACTTTCTCATTTCTTTGGATTAAGCAATTTTCACACTATAACGGCTCTATCATGAGATAAATAATCGCGCGGTTACATAATGGTCGAGATCAATTGATAATGTAGCGTTGGAAAATTACGGATGCGAACGTGCGCGACTTTTGTCGATCTCCTACTTGAATTAATTACGTATACGTTAATAAACGTTGCGCGGCACTGGTAGTGGTAAAAGCATCAGCCGGCATTCGGCTTCCGCGGGGAATAACAAACCGATGCGTTAGCTGCGTTAATGTCACGACACCGCAACATTAATGGGAACCAAGAAATATTCCGCGGAACTTTAACAATTGCAATCATGGATTCGCGATCATGGATTCTTTACAACCAATTATATTATGTGATGAACTTGTGGTCGAGTTCTTCTTAACGAAAATGTTGAGACATCGAATAATAATAATAATATTTCTCTATTAGAAGAGCGGATTGTGCGGATAAAAAAAGGCTTTTCGTAACTATAAATTATAGAGGGTAAAAGATGCATAGTGAAATCGCGTATTTTAATTTCAAGTGAATTTTAGTTTTAAATTGAAACTTAATTACGAAGTATGTGTTGGAAATTGAAAAGTTAGATAGATGACGATCTCTTTGTTTTCTTGACTAAAGAAAAAGATGGCTCATAGAATCTGTCATCAGAATTAAAAGCGCGAATTATATGAATATATTCTAGTATATGATAAAGAAAAAGCCGATATATATGCCGATAGATATGCAAATGCATAATTATAAGATTTATGTTTATCACAGATTTCAATATTATGTATATTTATATTATTATATTACTATAAAAAAGTATATGTATGTTATCGGATAGCACGATAGGAATGACTCATATCATTTCTATGATATAACGGGAAACAAGTTGCAAAAAATAAAGAAGTGCGCATGTTAGCTATGATAACGTTTTATTCCGAACTTTTGCGTTTTGACGTTTATCTGCTCATAACTTCGAGACTGATGCATAAAATAGCGGCTAAAGCATTTTGCGAGACTTGTATAAATTTATTTAAATCCCCGTCGTATAATCGTCGCAAAAGCACATTAAGTGCGAGTATCAAATGGACCTATTAACCTTTTAGAGCACATGAGTTGTTTTCGTGATATTTTATTCGTAAATGCTAAGGATACACAAGAAATTTTTCCGACTAATAGCATTTTCGAATGAAGCAAGTTTGATCGCTCTGAAATCGATTAATGACGTCATTTATGACGTCTTGGGTTACTATAGGGGTACTTGGATTATTGGATTAATCAATGAAATACTGCATCAGATAAGCGTTTGATTGATTAATCAGGGCAAAGAATTTGGTGCTTTGAAGTCAAAATAATGTCAATCAGAATATACTTTATATTATTTATAATATTAATGTGTTATTTATATTAATCAGATTCAAAACCCATTTACGTTCGAACATATGTTCATGGCAAATTAGGTTTAATCGCAGGGTGATCAAATCTGCTTCACTTGAAAACGCTATAACTTGTGTTAAAATTGGACACACAAATTTATGCAGTATTGATTTGTTTTGAGAAATTTTTTTGAAAGTAATATTTCAAATAAAAATTTCTCCTTCCTGATACACCGCGCGTAGATATCAAATTAGCACATTTAATATTTATGTTGATGTGTTTTTATGTGTAACGTTGACTTATCATACCGTAAAGTTCTTCCTCTAGCATTGGCAAGCCGTGCGTAATAAACTTGAACAAGAGGACGATGAAAATCGAGGAAGACAAATTGAAGCCCATCTTGACCAGTTGATGATTTATCATAGTGTTGCACTTGAAAAAAGAGAAATATATACATATCGTTAATTTTAAAAAAAGAGGGAGAGAGAGAAAGAAAAAATTAAAATTTAAAAAGTTTAATTCTTGAAAATATTTTTATGCTTTATCATTATAAGCTATGTAAATATAAAATTCAAGTTATATACTTTTCCCATTCGTATATTGGTTAAATCGTGGATTTACAAAAATATATAATTTATAAATTAGCTGAGCAATATTTAAATAAATAAGGAAAGATGATTTGAAAATTTTCAATTATAAGTAAAGATTCAACTTTGAAAAATTTTGATTAGATACTATTGTTTATTTATTAATAGCTTATAATAACACTTACAAACTCTTTTAATTTGCACCTGGAATATGGGCGATTCTCTAAATGAATTATTTATGTTCAAAGAAAAACATCCGATGATTTTTTTCTTGAGAATTCGACGCGATATGAGAAGAAAAAGGATATAGGAAAAAGATAACATCCGCGCTGTTTGCGACTCGAGACTACCCGAGACTCGATTGGACTCGACTGACGGCTGATGCCACGCGATGCGAATGTGATCCGGTATATAGTCGCCACAGAAGTGGTAGAAATGGGTAGAAACACACTCTGACGCCCGCACGCGGCAGTTTTGATCACCGTCATAAATTGCGAGTACGTCACCCAATTTCTCAACAATTTCATTGTCCCATACATTGTATGTACGATGTATGTTGCATGCAAGACGTCCGTGCATCACACGTGATGCATTCTACGAGGCATTCTCTTTCGATGTATTTTTTAAAAGCATTATGATGGATTAAAAGAGTATTTCGTGAAAGAGATTGATGTCTTTAAAAATTATCTAATTTTCTAAAATTGTATTTTTCGGGCTTTATACATATTGTGATACAGCAAAAGATAATATTTTTATATTACAATAAAAATATATTTATATTACTCGAATTAAAAATAAATCAAAAGCGTAAAAGTTCGATTATATATTAATTAAAACAAGAGTTAAGAAGAAATTTTAAAAATATTGCAATGATACGAAATAAATAAGACTACTTGTAAACAAATTGAAACTTGTTATTGATCAGCATGCTGATTCATATGACTTTCTTTATTCTGTTTTGTCTATCCTAATTTGGATTAATGTAAAAAGAAAATTTTCATCATATTTACAAATTGCATTAGATTCTATATATGATACCCTTGAATTGTATTAATCTTTTTATCGATAACGTTTACTCTTTTATCAGAAATACAAGTTTACAATATTATCAAGAAAAGAAACGATTTAATTTACAAGGTAGTTTTTTTTTTCATTGGAAAAATATCTTGTTATAATTGTAAGTCGGGCTCGTTAATTGTATCATATATATAAAATATACTATTTATTTACATAATATAATGCATATTAAAACTGTACTCCAAAAAGATATCCAATAGCATATACATCACAATCACATACAATGCTAATAATCTTCCTCTAATATGCATTTCTCCACTAGTTCCCGTAAATTTGGATTTTCCATTGCAGCTGCTATACGTTCCTTGTCATTTATTTGTTTGTTAACTGTAATTTAATGCACACAATATTAAAGGTAAGTGTATATATGTTTCTGTTGGAACAATGTAGAATACAAGTATACATACTTTCTTGTTCAGTGGAATGTGCACCCTCTTTGATATATATATCTAATTTAAACAATGCTACCAAATGACGTTCCAATTTGACACGAATACACAATCCTATGAGAGTTGCCAATGAGCAGTGAGGTACTGTAGGATTGAATTCCACGCGAATTACAGAGACCCCTCCAGGTGTGCTGTGGCAAATGGTTATACAATCTTCATAGACAACGTCCAGTTGCTCCAAGGTTTGCGGTTTCTCCGGATCCTTAATTGTCCTTAGCAAATCTGAAAAACGGGAAGAACTGAATCGTTAAATGATAGAGAATCTCTTTCTGCAGCTGCATATTATTCCAGTGTAATATATTTTTTCCAGAAATATTTTTCGAGCAATACTCGATTGTTTTAATAAAGTGTAAAAAAAAAGAACAAGTCATTTGCAATGTCGCACCATCTTTCTGACATCGGACAATACACTCCGAAAGGTCGAATGATACAATACGCAAATAGAGCGCAAAAACTTGCCGTAAACAGATTCTTTTAACTCGGTATCTGTCTTTAATGTCAGATCGCTCTGATTCTTCGCTGTCAAGAGATCCTCTGCCGTTTCCATGATTCTTTCCGGCAGTATACCATCTTTTATCTTTCCGCCGATTGATAGCTTTCGAAAAAAGGACAGCATGTTTATATTAATGATAATAACAAGAAAAACATGACACACATGATGCGTGAATTACGTCATTTGCGAGCAATGACAAACAAGTATACATACATGCGTACGTGAAGCAGAAATCAGCTGCAGGGCTGCCAGATTGTGTTCTCGCTAATCCGTATTCCAAAATTTCCCATCTAAGGCTACGTTCCAAAACGTACTCTCCGAAGAAAAATTTACTCGATGGCCGTTCCGAAACTTTTTTTGGTTTCTGATTAGTTTCAGTCTGGCCATCGAGTAAAATCGTCCTCGGAGAGGAAATTTTACACCGTTTTGGAACCTAGCTCTAGTGTAAATCAAATGCCCCATATTTCCCCTAACAACTTATACATGATGCGGGAACAACGCACGATTAAAAATAATATAAAGGAAGGTTAAGGGCCACTTCGACCAAACTCTGATTAATTTAATCGACGTCCGATATCCAATAGGAGAATTCATTCTATATAAAACCAATTCTCCTATTGAATATTGAACGTCGATTAAATTAATCAGAGTTTGGTCGAAGAGCTCCAAGTTATCAACCCTGCGCAACCCATAATGCAATGCAAAGAATCGATTATGGCTACGGTCGAGAAAACGCTAGAAATGCTTCGAAGCATTGCATTAACCAATTAGAATAAAGAAATCTTTACTCTCTTTGTCCTGATTGGTCAATCAAACGCTTCGAAGCATTTCTAGCGTCTTTCCGACCGCAGCCTGGGTGTGTACTGTGCAGTCGCTATTGAAAAGAGATGCTAAATAAGGTAGACTGTTATTGGCTCTCGCAGTCTTTCGCAATGCATTAAGCCCGTATTAGACTACGCATTGAAGATTGAAGATTGAAATTTGACCAATCAGGACAAAGAAATTGTAGTCTCTTT